GTTTGCAACCACAAATCCTAGTAATCCCTAAAGTGAAATTTGCATCTCACTGCCTGATTGTTTCTGACACCCTTCCCACTCTGACTCTCCTAACACTTTAATGCAATAAAAGTTCATGGTGAGTTAAAAAAAAAAAGTGCCAAACAGGTCCATTTCAGAGAATGAAGCTTCACTGGTGCATTGTGGAAGGAGCTCCGTATGTAGTTGGAGTTCACACAATGGGTCTAAAGAGCATACTGTGTTATATCTTGAGTTCATTGCCAGTATCTTTTTTTATGTTGATGAAGTTGGGAAAGACAACATCCTTCTTTTTCAAAGTCTACGGATATCCTCCCTGCTTTAGCCCTCTGGAGCAATCTGCACAGAGCATCTTACTAGATCTAAAAGGTCTGTCTCTTAAGAGGCAGACCATGACTGACACGGGCATGTCGGCATCATGGGGTCTTTAAGGGATTCAATATCAGGGAAAACAAACCAAAGGCTAGCTAGCAACACATTTCCTTTTTGCGGTACAAGTCCAGAAATAAGGGATCAGGAGCAAGGCCACGAAAGCGCAGTTTGTTGTTATGCGACTAGAACTGAATCCAACAGAATCAAACATTTATAGTCTGTAATACCAGGCAATTTATTCCTTCTTATGTTTGTCTCCTTTTTTTTGTTCTGTCTTTCCGAAGTTGAGTAAACTATGAAATACAGCCATATTATCCATATAAATGTCAAAATCAAAGGTGGAATTTTACTTTTTTTTTCAATTTCTTTCCTAACCAACTTAAATTTAACTTATCCATGAGATTTTTGTCTTCATCTGCAGTGTGTTTCCATTTCCTCACTCTATTTTTGCTTGTGTTTATGTATCAAATACATTCCTCTGGGCCCAGTGTGTGTTTGTATGTATGCATGCATGACTGTTTATTTGTACCTTTGGGGGATATTTGTGAAAGATGAGACAATTTAATGGTGTTAGTCTGTAAATGTTTCTTTTGACTCGGGGGGCATTAAAGAAAAGCAAGCAGGCTCAGTAGGTTACTATTGTGGTTTTTATTAAATAGCTAATGTCCCCAACAAGAGGGTTTTTTTTCCTCCAATATCTGCCACTGACTTTGTTCACCCAGGATATGTAGAGAGGCTGAGCATGGTCCTGGATAACTACGATAACTTGAAGAAATTTAAATTAAAACTCACTTATTATTAGACAAATTGTAAATATCATCAGAATGTAAAACAAGTTATTTGTTTATATTGTCTTATATGTTTAAACCTTCATTATTCAGTCTTCTTTTTATATAATCTACACACAGTTATTTGTCTTTTATCGCTGGCTCTCCCAATATCCAGCACCACATCTGTATCTACTGTATGTGATAAAAAAAAGACTTAGAGAAAAAGAAGAAGTATTCACATGACCAAGATTGGATTAGTATCTCAGTAATAATTACACTGTGAATTTTTAAATTCAATTCTCTTTTCATATCGACTCGTTTGCCCGTAAACCACATTGTGGATAAAAGAGAGAGATATTGTCAGAAATTCAAGACAAAAAATCAAAAGCTCACCTCAGAGAGAAAAGTAATCTAACAAAGATGAAAAAAGTTAGACAGACAAGATCAAAGTGATTTTTTACATCAAACTTTTAAGCATGCTAGTATTTAGGATTCATTTTGCACATATTTTGCCGAGTGGCCTCCTTTGTATGCTGAGTATTTTACCTTTTCCTTTGTATAAAGTGCCCTGATATTTTTTTATTATAATTGAAACAGGCTGCTTCATTTCAGCCCCTCAGGGGGTCAACTTATCCAATTCCTCTCAAGAAATTCAGCAGGTAATACGTAAAGTGACAGCATTGTTTCAGAGCATTCTCAGACTGTCATTACATGTATATTTTTATAAACGCCCATTTATTTCTGACGTGAACACATGCACACTTTCCCAGCTAGACTACTTCACTTTTTTTTTTTGTGCTTACACCTTGAGAAAGTGTCTAGATTGAGCTGTCGAGATGCTGCCTGCTGACAGATCTAATTACTATCAAGGCAGGTGGACTGTTATTAAAATGAAAATCTTAACATCCTTGATCCATGACACACTGTGTTTTTGTGCACATGTCGGTGTGTATTTCCTTTTGTGTAACTATGGATTCGACTGTGTATGCAAGAGTGATGGTTTTGTGTTGGCTGAAGTGTGTGTGTGTGTGTGTGTGTGTGTGTGTGTGTGTGTGTGTGTTTTCTCTCTCTCCTGAAAAGAAAGTGAGTAAATTAAGGCAGTTTTTAGTGCCTGAAGCATGTTGATTCTCTTCATGCTGAATGAGTGGGTCTGCCCTTAATTGAGCCTCAATGAAAAACCTCCTCTTGTTTGTGGAAATGCTTGTGGGCATCAACCTGCACCATGACCCAATCACTAAAGTATAATCCTGTGACTTTGAACCTCTTTCAAACTTTTATCACTGCCAGTCTAAAACTATGGATAGAGTCGTATTAATGTATGGGTCTATATTTAGTAGGCGTTTAAAAGCAGTATCCCTTACAGCAAAACACTGTGCGTGCATACACAAGACCTTTATCTATATTGAAATAAAAAGGGTTGCCTGACACCTTTATCTCATGATACATCTATTTTTACCGCTAAAAGAATAAATAAAATAGCCTGAGTGATAAATTGGCACCAATATTATCAGATATCATTAGGTTATCATCAATAAATGGACCTGTCCAGTTAAATTGAAAATGTAGATAAAAATTTCCATTCCTCTAATCACCTCTGACCTCTCATCCATTGATAGTGTCACCAATACATCATTTGTCCATTAGAGGGCGCTCACAAGTTTTACATTTCTGTAATTTCATAATAAATGTTTTATTATCTACAAGATTTTTCCTGAAAAGAAAATAACGAAAATGTTGTGGTACACATTGGTACATAGTTAATTTGGTACACATCTAGTTAATTAAGTCAAATGAATTGCTTGCATAACTGAGAGAGTGTTTTAGTCAACATACTAAAATGTGAAATTTGTTCGCAGACAAGCATAACTTTTAACATATATGGAGAATAATGTTTCCAATAATAAGCAAATATATCTCAGAAAAAGTCTTGAATATTTGTTTAAAAATTGCGAAACCATAAAGTTTAAAGGATCGTTTTCAATATAATGTTACATGTGTTCACAAAAAACAAATGTCGACTGATATATTGTCATTGGATTCGAGTATAAAACACAGTCGATCTCGAGAGCTGTTGTCTATCATGCTTGTTACAGGAAGTGAGTGAAGCATCCATGTAGTGCCATCTATCATCATCACGTCTTTTAAGCATGAATGCGAGCCACCTACTGAAGCTAGCTGAGGGGACGCTGCTTTGGCTAATGTCTGTGAACAAGACAGTTCCAGTTGGCTTTTCTCACTCCTTCATCATCTGCATGCTTCTCATTCGTTTGGTGAATTCACCAGTTAAACGGCTCGTGTCGTGTCAGACAGCAGCTGCATGCTTGAGGGGAGTTTTCAAAGTAGAACATTTTCCATCTCTTCAGCGTAGACCAGGCGGCATTGAGGGAGTCGATTCCAGCAAGGCCAAAGCCATTTTTAAAAGCATTAGCGGCACTGTCTGAAGCGAGGCATGCTGTAGATTGTAACATATGACTGACTGTCTCTCCGTTATGGGTCTTTCATGATATACTGTACGTGTCAACATTCTTTATGTGACCGTTTATGTTCGCCACACACATACAAAAAGCCACACATGTACACATAAGTTCAGGTGCTCAGGTGGACAAAACCAAAAAAAAAAAAGATGATCTTGAATGTGAAGTGTAAGGAATCTTCAGTATGTAAGCAGGAAGTCAGGGACATTGCGTATGCATCAATTTAAAAAAGAAATATTTCCCTCACAATGAGACGAACTTGAAAGGACGCATTGGCTCACACACACTGAGATTCTCTCTGTTTCTCGTCTATGTGCAAATACGCTTATGTCTCAACGTTTCGACCCTAAATGATAAAAGAAAGAAAGCCCGAGCCAGTTAGGTGTGATAAGAAGACTTCCATCTGGCTCTTACAAAAGGCGCCAGCTGAGAGCAATAGCCTGCTTCAACAACATGAGATGCATTGTTGTGATAAAAGAGCCTCTTGAATACACAGGCTCATCTGTGAGACGGTTTCTTTTAACTCCTTGTGAACGCCCTACTGCCCACACACACTTGGGCACGAACATGCTAAAACTCGAGGAAATGTGCTTCAAAAAAAGCTGCCACAACACATGAACGCACGCACATACCACTGATGTAATTGATCTTCAGTCTTGAATAACCAGCTGTCCCCATGCTTGCACGATAAAACAACTTTTGCAGGTTGAGTAAGTGGATTGATTCAATAGTGACAAAACTCAACACATTTCAAAAATCCACATTTAAAGCAAACTTTAGCTCTGCACTGTCTTGTCTGTGCTGATATGTGACAGTGTGCTTGAAGGATCCACATCAGTTTTCCCTCTGCGCGGCTTTTATTTCAGCGTGTCCCTGTTCTCTCTTCCCCCACTCAATGGAGAGAGGATTACAGCGGCATCACTCAAACCATGTCTCTACTGAAATCCATCTATCAGCTCATTCCCTGAACAATATTTCTGTATTCCTCCCAAGTGGAAAGATCAAATATTTGGTATTGCGCAGTGAAACACATTCAAAGCTACTTCCACAATCCCTGGATGAGTTTTTTTTTCTTCTACAGCCAATTATTTTACATCAGATCAAAGGCATTTATTTGCCATTTAAAGTGGATAAGCTGATGGAAATGGGACTCTCCCATATGCACACAGAAGCGCACACACACAAAAAAGACACACATGAACAGATGTGTTTCCATGTTGGCACACTAACAACTCCACTGGAACAGCTGCAGTATAAACACCATCACCATGATTTTTTTTCCCCTGAAACTTCATTTAGGCCAACTTTTTACGTCTCTCCCCTTTTCTCTTCACCCACCTTTCTACTTCTTCTCACTTCTCCACAGGTGTGTGTGGACAGGAGTGGTGAGGTTTCATCCCAGCATGCCTCTGGCACAGCAGCATCACAGGGCCACTGTGCCCACAGCAGGCTGGATCCTGGCTTTAGCGCTGTTTCTTGCTCTACAGGTAATTTTATTTCTGATCAAATAGACATTTTTTTTACTTGGTAGAAGTGCCCTGGGCTTTTTTTGTTCATATTAATTATTTATTTCCAATCTACTACTTTTGGCAGCCATGTTAATCACTTGACTCTAGGCACAAATCCACTCAAATTCTAGTCTGGCCAAGTATCAAAGAGAAGTGATGGTTTAGACTACTTGTATGTTTTCTGCCTGTTTTGATATTTTATGTTGTTGTTTTCTTGTACGTTTTATATTACCGAACCAGAGTTATCATTGCTACGTCCATAAAGCTTCCCCCTTCTTGCATATGAACATATGCAGTCTGCTGTGATAATGGTGGCAGATTTAACACTCAGAAGCAGGTTTCTCATTTCTAGCCAGTGCCTAGACTCAATTTTGTCAGCTAAAATGACAACAGTAACTGTAACCTCACAAGCTACCACCATGTGTGAACCTATCGTGACTTCACCCATGTGGTTTGTGGAATTGTATTGTTGTATTAAATGAACATCATGCCGTATGAAAGAATTCTTGAAACTAGCGATTGAGACCGTAAACTCATTGGGAAACCATTTACTGAGTTAATAAAACAAATGAGAAGTTGTGTCATTTTTACATAACACTGCATGGCATCTGTGAGTTATTGCAGCCCATGGATCTGCCCCCTGCTAATCATTACCTGGAATGCAGGTTGTTGGCTTCACTTCACAGACCTGGAAGCTCTGTCTATATATATATATATCCTCTCAATATATTGAGAGGCTAAAAAACACAAAAAACCCTGCAACCTCTTGAAATGCAGAGTACCGTTTTTTCTACAGCCCCATGAGGAATCCAAATCTTGACAGACCTGCTGTGCCTAGTTACGGTTGCAAAGCTATGATTGGACAATGTGCTGTTCAGGGAAATGGGTTTCTTGAATAGTAAATTGCACCTGGGTAGTACTAGTAATTATATACTAATAACTGTAATAACTCTCTCAATCAAACATTTTTAATAAATCTGAAAGTTCATATTCAACAAAATGTTTTCATTATTTTTCTTATTTTTTTCATTTAATGTTAGAAATTCTCTGCAAGTTTTGCCAGAAATAAAAGAAAGTATGATCTAAAAATACTGAACTGTCACAGCATCTTTTGCAAATGACCCTTATTTGTAATGTGAAAATTGTTGTGTGTCTGTGTTGCAGCCAGTGAGAAAATCCTTCATATAAAGTATATTAGTGTCATCTTGTTTTGTTTCCCTCTGGGTTCTTTTGTTAGTCTTTACTCCATCATTCTGTAAACACAAGATAGAAAGGACAAAAACAACTGGAAGCCCCTCCAAACCACGTGCAGTGTTTTTTGTTTCACATTGTGTCTCTCTCCAGGGTGCCGCTTATGCTGCTCCATCAGGAGACAACAAGCTGGTTCGTACCACCAGAGTGAGGAGACAGACCCCAGGGGGGGATCAGCCCCCCTCTGCTTCCTCAGCCAACCAGACACTGCGGGAGCAACCTGTAGTCTTTAACCACGTCTACAACATCAATGTACCATTGGAGTCTCTGTGCTCTGTTGACCTGGACGCCTCTGCACCACCTAACCCAGGTGATGGTGAGTGTTTTGGTTAAAACTGCCATCTTATCTACTGTCACAGAGGCACCTTTTGTTGCTGTATTTAGACGTTTTTAAGAGATCTTCCTTTTGATTCCAAGGTTCCCGTGCTGAATTGGGGTCTGGCCCTTCTATGGAGGGTCCGATGGATCCAAGCGGACCAACAGAATACACTGAGCAGACGCTGGACGCTGACAGCCAAGTAGGTGTAACATTTTATTTTTGTTTAATTGGTACTAAAGCATAGGGAGCGATACAGGATTTAGAATGGCATGAAGAGAGATGTGAAGAGTGATTTAGGCAAACTGCCTCATGTGGCACGGAAATGATTTTAAAGGACAAACATCTGTTTCATCACACATTGTCATTTACATGCTGAGACTCATTATAACTTGTTGTTTTACCCAGAATTAACTAAAGTTATTCTTCACTAAAAACCACAACAAGGTACCCACTATTTTGAGGTGGCTGTAAAAACGCTCAAGTTGGTAACTGATTCGGAAAAGGTTACGATATTAAATTATCTATGGAAGATTGTCAAACCACCGATGCAGCAAAATTAGATTAGTTTAGGTGGCAGATTTCAAACATACATGACAAACAATAAAACCACTCTTACCTTGTCCATCCATATGCTCAACATGTTCCGAACAGTCATATTTTAGCCAATTTGCTAAGTACACCACTTGAATTCTCACACATGACCCTGCTGGGCTTGTTTTTTCAGTGCTCGTGTTGGTTTGCACACATAAGAGCACCCACCATTTGCTGTAGCTGTTGGGGAGAGGTGGATAATGCTGCATGAGAGGGTTTAAGATTTTGATTGACTTTTCCTCACACCAGGACAACTGATTTTGGCCTCAGTTCCCTCAGACAGACACAACTATAAACTTTTTTCTGCCACTTTCCAAGCCTACAGGACAGTGTTTCATCCTTGATAGATAGATAATTTGAGTGGAGTATCGTATGCATTGTCCCGTAATTGTGGAATCTATTGTTCTGTTATCCTCAGTTAATTTGCACGTCTTAATTAAACTCGTTCTTCAGGTAACATTCACTCACCGCATCAACATCCCAAAAGCTGCATGTGGTTGTCCGGGAATAACCACGATCCAGCAGCTTGCCACCAGAGTGGAGATGCTGGAGAGAGAAGTTTCCCTGCTCAGAGCTCAGTGCGGATCTGGATGCTGTGGCGAGAGCTCAGCCATGGGTGAGTGCTGTTTAACAATGACAACAAAATATATCAATAAAGCTGCAGGATGTTGTGTTTTTATTTCAATAAGCTGTTTTACTTACACAAAAAAAACAAAAAAACTAATGGTTTGAACCATTAGGCTTTTAAAAGCAAAGATATAAAGAACTGCAAGAAAAACATTAAAAACACGCCGTCTCATATGTGGCAAAAAGACAAAAAAACTATTTATACTATAAGTAAAACAGGCAGAAAAAAACTGTTTATACCATGAATGAAGAGGAGACAGACGGCAGCAGCATATTGATGCTGGAGGGCGACTTTTATTTCTGCTACACAGTCTCGGTCTAAAAGGTGTGGAGAAACCTTTGCTACTGGTAAAAATTTTGTTCACTATTCAGGAGATGCTGCCATTATAATATGAGGGGACTAAAATGGATAGAGTTATAGGATATATTATGGTTAAAGGATCAGCTCCATTGACACCATCACCCCATTCAAATATTTTCTGAAAACGCTCCATCTCTACGGTGAGAATATGATTATCTCCGGCAGACATGATCAGAATCAGAATGAGGAAGAAATGCTCAGCTAAGGGGGGACGGTGGCTGGATGGAAATGCACAGAATGAGACAGATTTTTATTGACATCTGCACTACTGTTTCTTCCATCAAGGCTGTTGGAGCATGGGAACCAAGGTCGAAGGTTTTCCCATGATTTATGAATTGATTATTTCTTAAGAATATATCACTCTTTACCTAGGATTCTCAGGGTTATTAGCATGTCTTAAAACAGTACTACATACGTTTTATTGTGATGTTGAAGATTTTATTTTTTAATATTCTTTCACATCCATTACATTATGTGGTAATGTGTCTATTAGAACAACAATTTGTCTAGTATATAGAATCATCTGATCTTCTGTATTTTTGCATGTCCTCTTACTCTTTTTATGTCAGAGTGATTATATGGAATCATTTGACTGTCTTTAGAGCAATTAACTGAAGTTATTAGTTAGTGCATGCAGTGGTAGGGAATAGCATTTTGGCATGTTGTTTAGCCCGGGTGGTTTTATGCATGGCATGCTCCACCTGTTGAATGCCGCACTGCAATTAGCCCAACTGCTCTGATTGGGGATGGAGGTCTGTATGTTTGATTAAACCACTTGTTGGCTGCTTTGTTCAATTAATCTTAATAACATTTTGCCACACAGCTTAACTGCTAACTGCAACTGTAGCATGACAAAAAACAAACAACGCAGCTGAAAAGTTAATTTACATTATGGCAAAAATCCCAGCATCTTGCTGATGTTTTCCTGGTAAACAGAACCAGATTACAACAATAAATCCAGTGAAATACAGAAAATACAAAGTAATAAGAGTATTATTATTACCCCAAAACTGAACTATACCCTTAAGTTTGATTATATGGTATTCTTTTCATCTTTGAATCTAGCATAATTTTATAATAATACTGCATATAATGTATGTGCCTTTTTTTCCCCCAGGTCGTTTGGACTTTGTCCCAGGCTGCAGCGGCCATGGCAGCTTCAGCTTTGACCTGTGTGGCTGCATCTGTGAGGAAGGTTGGACCGGCAAAAACTGCTCTGAGCCTCGCTGCCCGGATGACTGCTCCGGCCAGGGGGTATGTGTGGAAGGGGAGTGTGTGTGTGACCGTGACTTTGGAGGCGACAACTGTTCAGAGCCGCGGTGCCCTTCAGACTGCTCGGGTCGCGGGTTGTGTATCGACGGGGAGTGTGTGTGCGAGGAGTCCTTCACTGGCGATGACTGCATGGTCGGGAGGTGTCTCAATGACTGCTCGGACCAGGGGCTGTGCATCAACGGGACGTGCCAGTGCCGGCCCGGGTATGTGGGAGAGGACTGCTCGCTGGTCTACTGTGCCAACAACTGCAGCAAGAAGGGAGTCTGCAAGGATGGATTCTGTTCCTGCCAGGATGGCTTTGCAGGAGATGACTGCAACTCCGGTAGGCTTTTAAAAGCTTCTGTCAGTTTGATCCCCTTGACTGTTGTCAAATACAAAAAGTAGTTCGTCTGACATTTGTAGTTCAATTCCCAGAAGCAGAAACTCTGGGCAAGGAAGATGTCCTCAGTTAACACTTGCTGTTAGTGTGACCAGGACCAAGTAACTCAGAGCCGAAATCCAGCCTAAACAGATTTGAGAATGACTCTCTGTGACCCTCAGACAGTTCACTATGAATTCTTGAGCAGGAACAGGTTTTTTTTTTTTTTCAGATTGGAGCTGCAGCGTTAGATGGAGTTCCTCCATTGCTGAGATTGATTTACTGTAATGTGGGCACATTTTCTGTTCATGAATTGCTGGCACTATCACTGAGGTTCCAGATTATAGTGAGTATCTTTAGAAAAGGCGTCTTGATGTCTCTTTATCTGGTTTACTTACAGTGTGGGAGTAATTCTTCAAAAAAAAGAAAAAAGCAGTTGTGTGCCACTTGATAAATAAGACTACAGTGAGATATTTTCCCTTAAGCTTCTCTTTAAGTTAGAAAATCTAGCTTTGGATGCCCTTAGACTTTTAGATGTAATCAATATGTGACATTCAGTACAATGATGTTTGGAGTTTATTTTTAGCTGCGACCAGCAGCTCTCTAGCTCACTGTGTCAGTCCACAAACATTTCCCCACCCATCGTCAGCCACAGTGTTGGCCTTCGCAGGCTGAAATTTGGCATTCTGTTGATGCTTGAAGGCATAGATGCACGTGTGTATGTGGTTGCAGCTATTGCAAATTCATGCTTGTTATACAGATATTTGTATTCACACAATCTGTCAAACATATACAACAAACATACAGTTAGGGCTGCAACTTATTTTTAAATTCCCCAGTGCCCTAAATGATCTGATCAGCAGTCAAAACACCAAACACATACATTTTACAGTGATATAAAATTGATATGCATGACATAAAAGTAAAACAATGATCAGATATGTGGGTAATGTTCTAACTAATTGATTAAGCGACCAATTATTTCTGCGCCAAATACAATATATAATAGAAACTTAACACATATGGAAGAATCCAGTACAGCAGATATTGGAACTAATGTGCCATGGAGTGCTTTGAGTTTACAGCTAGATAAAGGCTACAGCAGGGGATTTAATTTATCAGCACACCTTTAACAAGAATAAAGGAAGTAATTAATTCAACCACCTAGTGTAGTGTCTGTATAGGAAGTAAATTACCATGATGCTCCATAACACATTTGCCTACCTGAGCCCTACAGAGCGGTGAGCTAGATCTGATTTGTTTATAGATGTATAAATGCAAAGCTTCCGTTCTCTCTGCTCTAGCAATTAGCTCTCAGCCCCATCATTTTTAGTATACGTGCAGCCCGGAGAAACAAACCCCTCTGTGCTTCAAACGCAGGTGGCGGGGCCGTGTGACTTGCTGGACAGCAGAAGGTGTAACAACATTCATTTGTCAAAAGTCACATTCATCCGGGGAGAGAACTGTCACATTAGCTGCAGCTGAGACAGTTTCTGAGTCATGCTTGCCTCTGTTCAAACGCAGCTCTCTACGCCGAAATATCAGATCCTCCTCTGCCATTTGAGGCAGCTGTCAACAAAGTGAAGGATGGGGACAGACATGGGCGCGAGCAATAGAAAGACAGTGATGGCAAATCATATTACTAAGGCTGATTCCTCCTCACTGCCCTCCCATTTAATGTCTATACCAAGTGAGGGAGTCGGAATTGCTTATTTTCTTTGCAATTAGAAGCAAAGATAGCCAGTGCTTGTAGGGGGTAGTTTTCTGAATACAAAACGAAGCAGTTCAATTACCAGAGACCTGTAGGGTGACAGGCTTAAGTGCTTCATGTTATCAAAAGCTGAAGAAAGCGCGATGTATTTTTGCTTCCATTATGGTGGCCTATATTTTCCCACTATGAGAAATAATGAAGGCTGTTGAATTTAAATGGGATGTTTCAGGCACGGGATAGGATACAGTATATCTTTACATGAAAATATATATCCACCCACAAAGCAGAGCTCAACTTGTGCTGAAGAGTGACATTTAATCTTGACGACAGAGGAATTCTGCGATCATTTTCAATGAGTCCTGATGCTGCAGTGGCGATGACATTCTCACATTGTTGACATCCTCTAAGTGTGGCAGTGGTGACAACTGACATTTACATTTCTCACATAGTTGTGGATCTCATTGCTTCCCTTATGCCAATTTGATTACCTTACTTTATGGACTTCTGCCTCAATCGAGTTTGACTAGACAGAACAGCTTATATATATATATTATAGCAGATCAGTCAGTAGTAGAAGCCTATCATATAAAGGAGCCTTTTTTAATCAGTTATATTATTAGACAGATTTAACTATGATGATAAAGGGCTTTGACACATGTGACAGTCCATCTCATTGCACAATCAAGCACAAATCTAAATCTGTGTGCCATTATAGTCTGCCTCAGCAGCGTTCGGACACATACCGTTATCATGGTTGTGACTGAAACTGTGTCGTAGCTTGCAACAAAAGTCCTTCAATATCCAGAACCATTCTCCTGCACCGCATTGACTGGGCAATCCTTTTGGGTATATTTTACAGTAGCGCTACACTAAGAGCACAGCTCCAGTATGCACGGAGGAGTCTTTGCATGAATAAGTTAATAGCTGTTTAATTTAAGCTGGTAACATGATGTAATGTAATCCAAACAAACTGATGCTACGAGATGCTGATATTTGATATCCAACTTGAAAAGCCTAGCAAGCTAGATCTAACTGATTAATTACAGTCTCGGTTGACAGACATGTTTTAGTTCTTAACTCACATGAATACCACAATTATTATCTGTATTACATAGTAATACAAAAACAGCACACAGAAGAGCATGATAATAAACTCTAACCTTTACTCTTTAATAATAAACACTATAACTACTGAAACCTGTTATCCAGGATAACCATTGCTAGGCTTTGTAAAGCCTGGTAATCTGGCCTGACTAATTTAAACTGGTTTTGTGATATAGGCCCATGGTTGGCTTGTAACTAGGTTTTGTGAACCCAAACAAAATACATTTTCTATTACACACAAACCTTAAAATACTGTACTTCACACTAAAAGTTTCTGTTTAGTCACTTAAGCAAATAACAAGAGAAATGCCATTACATTAAGTTGCCTGAAGGTAAGTTATTCCTTTGATGATGCACTGACCTCCGTTGTCAGCTGGAGTTTTACCTTTTTGAGTTTTTAGTTCAGTAGATACTGCTGTATCTGCCTATGATAGCATACTGATTAGACCTAATGAGACTTAAAGACTCCAGGCAAGATTCTTGAATAACCTTCAGCAAGTTGGCCTTTTGAAACGAACCTTGGGAAAGTTACATGCCTGAGAAATGGTTTCATAGCTTACCATAAATCTTGAAGACAAAAACTTTCAGCATTTGAATCATTCTGCAAGTGACATAATCAGTGTTTATTTTTTTTATCGCATTTATGTAGATAAGCATTTTAACGCAACTAGTTGTGAGATAATGTTTCTAATGTTAGACAGCATGTACACGGCTTCTACCTGGGTGAAGACATGAAGTTCTTAAAACTGTGTGTCATCCTGAAACCTTGTAAAAGACCCAAGAACAAAATGAGCTCTTCCATTCCACCTTTTAGGGGGGGAGGGACTGGGGATCTTTCGGGGGAGATAGCAGTTCAACAATATATGCCACATAGGCATACATATTCAATGTATTAAGTAATTTGTTAACCAGCTACATTCTCTGAAAGACAGTAATGTCGGCAAAGCCGTAGCAATCCTGGTGGAGTTTACTGAAATTAGAATAAGAAAGGAAAACAAGGAGTTGAAGTCAGGAACTGAAAACTGCTGCTGATGTTGGACACTGGCCTAATCGCAAAGGTCACACACTCTCTTGATGCTCTGCAATTGAGAAATGTTGATAGAATGTCAGCTTGAACCAGTCCTAGGGGACAGATTCAATAGAGCAACAATATATTTGCATTCAAATTAACCGCTCGTTCATGACCTTTCACGTAGCAACAGCAGCAACAACATGGTGAGATACTCACTTCTCTGTCTTTAGGAAAAAATGTCAGATTTGAGCTCTTAACATCATTGACTAACTTTTCAGAGGAACCTTTTCTTAAGTGCTTACCTGAGAGTTTGGCCTTTACTTTCTATAGGTGCAGCTCGTCTGTTCAGCCTCCTGCATGACCTCATTCAGTCACTCTTCTTCTATCCCATGGATTATCGCTCCTTTGTTTGATTTGCTATTTCCTTCAGAATATGTGTCAAATCAGAACATAATTGCTGGAATAAATCAAGTGAATGCTGCAGGAATTGTCCCCAGTGCAGGTTCGCTGTTTCAAAATGAGCAAACTATTGTACAGCATGTGCCCATCTGTTGAGTGTGTGCCGACGGACCTGAAGCGGCTAGTAGAGTGTCCAAAGGTTCCCCCGAGGAGGACTCAGGCTGTGCTGTGGAGTCCTGTATCACAGGAGGTAGAGATGATGAGGGGGTTAGAGGTTGTTTGTCACACCATCACACTCATTGCTCTTTTACTCCTCTCTCTGTCTCCCCTTTTCTGTTTTATCCTTATTCTCTCTCATTTTACTGTCTCTCTATGTTAGTCGTTTCTCTCCTGTCTTCTATCCACTGTCAAAAAACTGTTTGTACCTTCCTCTCCTCCTTTGTGTCCTTCACCTGTCTCCATTCCTCCTCGTTGTTTTTGGCAGTGGGAGCTATAAACACATCATCTCCACAACTCTACATGTACATTCAACACCACCTCTCAAGCTTATGGCTTGACTATCTCCACTTCAGCCCAAATGAATGACAGTGCTTCTCCCTCTCATGTTAACACTCAGCCTCTTGTTGCCACAAGCGCTGGCTTCTTTTGCTGGCTGTTATGCACATTCACAGTGCACTCTAGGCTGTTGCATTGTTTTAAAGAGACTGTTTTTAGTAAGCGAGATAAAGTGCCAAATGTAACAATGTTGTGTGCATTGGCAGTAGTTACAAGCACTTTGGTTTGGGTAGTTCTGCTATTTACTCTACCCGCATTGACCCTGCAGTGAATGAAAGGGTAAACAGCAAAAATATGAGGCACTCATAAGTGTAATTTTATGGTGGCCTCATGTTACAGAGGGAAGGTATTTTGATCTCCACTTATGGAGATTTATATTGATATATAAATATATAGATTTGATGGTAGTCTGATGTTGCCTAGCCACCTGGACTCCTGCATTATAAAGTATTTGCAGATACTGTATGTGTGACCTGGGTTCCTCTCTCCCCTTGTGTCAAATAAACAACATTAAACATTAAATATGTATATCATAAAGATTTGGGCTTGTGGGGTGATTACAACACAATCCAAACCTGTGATTCCCCGCCGTTGTCGCACTATTGGACCATTTTATGTTAAAGATAATTAACAACTGCTTACAACTCAATGCCACTGGCAGTCGTTTTCTATATCATGCAGCTATATTTTAGCTTTTCGAGTATTTTGCCAAAAATGAGTTGATACACTTGATGAAATTCAGCCCTTTGTCAGCTTACACATATGTACAGAAGTCATACCAGTTATAATTACTCCTGTCAGTTTATCTTGAGGAAAGATGTCCCACCTACAAGTAAATCTGATGGGATAAACTCTGCTTCATCTAGCTCACCAAAAACATGAATTTTCTTTTGGTCTCAACAGTGGCACCAGCCATGAACCTGAAGGTACGAGGTGTGACGGATCGCACTATTGACCTTGAGTGGGAGGGGTCAGTTGTGCTGACAGATTTCTTAATCACCTACACACCAAGCAGCGCCGGCGGTAAGTACAGAGCTGTGCTAGTCTTTCAAAGCAAGGTTGCAATATAAGCTTTGATTGATTCAAAATGTCTTGAAAGCTTCTTTTTTTTTTTTTTTTTAAGTGAATCCGCATATCAGTGCATCTTTTCACCTATCTCTCGGTCAGGTGTGCAACTAGAGATAAGGATTCCAGGCAACATCACCACCTGCACTATCTCAGGCCTGGAGGCAGGCATAGAGTACAACATCAATGTGTTCGCTGTCATTAACAACAGTATCAGCGTTCCTGCCAGCATCACCGTTTCGACCTGTAAGTGCAGTCCTCTGGGTTGTTTTGACAAAATGTTCTCATGGGACCCTAATGGATAATCTGCTGAAGCCATGTTTGGTCCGGAACAGAATAAAAATGTAATACCTCAGTTCAGTACCTCATAAAATGTTATGTGTCTCAAACAGTGCTGTACATGCATTCTCACATGGACAAAGCCATTCACGCGGATGCACATACACCCTCTGTCTGTCACTTTTTTTTTTTTTTTTTTTGGTTAAATCCCCCCAAGATGTTTCTCAGTGTCAATAGAGTGAGAATGCCACCTGCTCCTCTGTGCCAACTGGTTGTGATTCCTATCTGTAACACCTGCTTGGTGTCACTCACACTCCAATACACACAAACACAAATATGAACGGCTTATGAATGTGTCCCTCCTGGTCAGTGTTAATGCCAGGTCATCGGACCTGACAGAAAAGCATACTAGTTGCTTCCATGCTTCTCAGAAGTACGCAAGCTCACCAGGCCCTTTAATAAGTAATAGCCTATTTCCAATCAGAATATTGTATCCACTCTACATCGGCTGGCTTCATACAGTGTGTTGCCATTAGTTCAGTCTTGGCTGATGAAATTATCCTCCATTTCACAGATAAGTGAATTTAATTTCAGTGATTGCAGAATTCAGTGTAATAAAGTCAATTTAGGGCAATTAAGCTTGATGCAACCATTTTTTAGTGATTGTATGATTTATTGGGTTGTCTTTGCTAAACGTAATTATGAAATGTAGTATTTGATTATCTGGAAAGATTTATGAGGACACAGCTGCCTGTGAAAAAAGTAATTTAAGCATTTTGCTAAATCAAAGTATGGGCTATTTGTTTTAAACCTAGGAACTAATCTTGTAAGTGTTTTATATATAACTGTAATAGGTACTGTTGAAATAACTGCATATCCAAGCTGGAAAAAGCCTTTTCATTGTGTCTTATGAAACAGGTGTTCACATTTAAAATCTTTTTGAACAAATATGACATCTTTTGATTAATAACAGTATTGAAAATCATGTACAATTGATAGCTTTAGCGCAGCATTCCTCATGATCGAAAGAAAGAAAATGAAGATTGCGACAACAGAACAGAAAAATAAGTGCACAAGAGAAAGGTTCAGCATTGGACACCTCCAGCATGAGATGGAGTAGTGATTTATGGGCTGTGTGGGTCACTGAAGAACAATAATACGTCTCTGGCTACCTCTCCAGATCTCTCCAATCCAGATGGTTTAGTCTTCAAATCCATCACAGAGACGTCAGTGGAGGTCCAGTGGCAACCATTCTACTATTCCTTCGATGGATGGGAGATCAGCTTCATCCCCAAGGTAGAGTAAAGCTGTGTGAACATTCAGTGTAAGTGTTCGCTGTCAGTCCCAAAGTGACACTGCACTACAGCATGCTCAAGTTCACTGTCCTTGTGTGTGAGGACAGACTTGCCCACTCCTCACACACACAGACACACACACACACACACACACACACACACACACACACACACACATACAGTTTTATTTATTTATTTTTCATTTTGCTATATAAATGTTCTTTATTGAAAATAATTATTCTCAAGTCTCAGGAGTGCCAATGTCTAAATGTCTTTTAATTTCTGTGCGGAAATACTGTGCATTTTCTTGGGGGTTTGTTCAACTTGAAGCCCATACCAAATTACACAAGCGGATTGTCTTAAGCTTATTGGCTATTAGGTGGATGAGCCATTAAACCCTTTTCCAGATTAACCCTTTGTTAAACCATAGCAGGGCCAGGTCCAAAGCCAGAAACCAAAACATTTCTCTTCCTAATTCCCGCTGTAAACTCAGGTACTCTCGGTAGTCTAATCTTGTGCCCTCTCACAGTAATTGGTTTTCTCCTTTAAGGCGTTCTCATGGGGAGATATCCTTTGGTCCGGCCAGACTTCAAGCCTCAAATCTGATGTTAAGATGCTTTTTTGTGTGTGTTTATTTCAAGCCCTTTTAAGGATGGGACCTTTCTGAATGGAAAAAGAGCAGTAGGCTTCTTAATTTCATTTCATTGCTTTTAGCTCTCCCTTTTCTCTCTTTCTATCCAATCTTCCATGTCTCTCTTCTTCTTGCACTTTCCATTCCCCCACCCTTCCCTCCTAATCTCATGCTTTTACTTTTAATCCATCACCTCTCAGTCAGGATCTCCAACCCTTTCCTCTCTACCCCAAAGGTACCCCTCCATTCCTTTCTTTATTTCACCTTCACCTCTCTCTTCCCCTTTCAGTATATGTTCTTTCCTCTGTCTTTCCTTGCTTTTCCCTCACTTGCTCCAGCCACAGGGGAAATCATATTATGAGTTGGCAGTCCCACCCCCTGTGGATTTAATCCAGCAATGGGGATTGTGAATTTTGACAATCTCGTAATGGAAGCAGGCATGAACGCTTTGGCCTATACGAACAAACGCAGAACACACTACTCTCTAAAAAGGAAACAGAGAGTGAGAGAGAGAGGAAGAGTGAGATTCGAGACCTGATGGTTAACACTATTAGAAACGGCTACAGTTTATATCTGACATTTTAATAAAATACCATACTGCCAGTGTTTCTGTAGCACGTACTTGTCATGCCATTGCACATAGTACTTTGGGCTTGTCTTTATAAGTCGATAAAGCTGTAAAGCAATCAGTCAATCAATACTACTGCCAGTAGAACTGTACCAGCATTATATTAGTCATTTTTTTATTGGTTCCAGTCATATAAGAGTCATATACATTCATAAAAGATTCTCAGTCTTGATTAATATAATTTATATGACTTTTTCAAAATGGAAACCAGACCTGTTCCAGTTTCCTGGTTGTTAGACAAGCTGCTGTAGCTTTCTTTGGAAATAAACTTCACATACACACAGGAAACACACACATGCCCATGCATAATGAATAGCGATTCAGTTAGCGCTGAATGGACAAGCAAATGGTCAGTGCTCAAAGGTCAGGACACATGATGAGGCTGTGCAAATTTGCACCTTTCTCCGTACATAAGGCAGTCATTCATATAATGCCTGTATGAATTAGAGATTATACTAAATCGTGGTTGTGGCTCTAACACTGTTGAAATTGATTGATTGATCAAATCTTTGTGACTCACTCCTTCACTCCTGAGAAGAAGAGACAGTGCCAGCCAAATTCCCCAAACAACTCAAAATCAATCTCCCTTGATCATTTGAGCCTCTGAAGCTGCATTTTGTTGAATAAATCAGGTGATTAAGTGAGAGGAAAACCCCCTTGCATTCCAAACAGCCTGTAATACATATACATTATATATTGGTTCAAAAAATGTAAACTCAAATTACAAAAACATACAATATTTTTTTACTTACCTCTAGTATTATCTAGTTCTCTTTGCCCTGATTCTGAGATGTCTGCCTTTCTGATACCACCACAGTACAAAGGAAGTGAGTGGAATTACATTTTTGGTTCCGACAGCATTAATAAATATCATTTAAAATATTCAACAACAATGTATTTTGCCCGAAACGACGTCCCTTTTACTCATGATAATCCACAGACCATACTGTAAATAGTTTTGCTACTGAAGAAATAATCAACATTATATTAAATCAGTTGAGATTGGGGATCCCGGTATTTAAATGCATTATAAAGGGTGGCAAGAGAAGGCATTGCATGAAGAAAATCAAATGACACAACCATGTTTTCTCTTTGTTTTCAATAATACTAGCATCTCACTCATATCCACATTTTCCCCATTCTCTGTTTTGGAAATGTGCTTTATTATAATGTATGCAAATAATTAGTGCATTTATTATTCCTGTGTATATGTATGTGTTTTTGGTTTTAGCATGTGGTTGCTTGGCTAAAAACAAGATAGAAAAATCTTTGCTTTCCTACTTAACAACATTTACAATTATTATTTTGGAGTCAAGGTAGTGATGAAAATTTTCATGCATTTTCTTTTTTTTGTAAATTTATTAAGATATGAATCATTAATGCGATACATTTCAAATCTAATATTATATTGCTTTCTATGAATATTAGGATTATTAGTACAACCTCTTGACACTTTTTCTGATATAAAAAGAGCTGTTTAAGCTGAAAAACTAAATTACCCTAATAACTAACCAAGAAGCATGAATGGGCAATCAAACAGTCCTACATTCATGTCACTTCAATAAAATTAATGTGATAAAGATGCCTTGTTCCTCATTTAAGCAGCCTTGTCGGCAGAAAGAATGATGACTAATTATGAGCAAACTGACACAGGAGATGGGAGTGGGATATACTGTTATGGTGGTTCATTTTGTATAATTTAACATTGCCTTCATTTAACTGTATTATTATTGAGATTGAAAACCAATTGTTATTGGAACATTACCATTGTGTGTTACTGCCCACCCTAGTAATTTAGTTGAGGTGATTAAATGGATTACATCTCTAATTACAGTTTTAATTCAGGAAAGTAGCAAGCTGTTATATGTTCTGTTTTAATACGCCTTCATAGCGCAGGCTTTTGGGGATCTTGGAGCAGCAGTAGGTGTAACATCTGTCTGTCGGCAGGAAGTGCATGTGCAACACTGGCTCTCTCAGAACAGCTGGGAATAGCAGGGGCTCCATATGGATGAGTGACAGGCCTTTGGAAATGTACGGAGCGCTGCAGAATATAGCCCGAAAAATATCACTGTAGCACACATAGCCATTTTTGCCAATCAACACCATTTGGGAATTTAATGTGCTAAACCCGCCAAAAGTTTACAGAAAATCTACCTCATATAATTTAACTGCATGAGTCACTGTTTATGTCTTACTGTTGGGGATAGTCTTTCATCTGCCAGATCCCTTATCTCCACTGAGAGAAGAAGTTTAAGTCACACACAGCTGACATTTATTCAAAATATGCAAACAATGTGCGACAGACATGAGTCCCAGTCTGTTTTTCTCTTTTCATCACTTCTATCTCTGTGTTTTTTTCCCAGGACAATGATGGAGGGATGACTGCCCAGCTGCCCAGCACCATCACTTCCTTTGTGCAGACTGGTTTGAGACCTGGGGAGGAATACACTGTTAACCTGGTGGCACTCCGAGACCAGGGTCGAAGCCAGCCAGTCACTGCTACTCTCACAACATGTATGTATTAATTGAAACCGTAAAGATGCACCTTGACATTAGGACATGATCTCATCAGTCATATAAATTGTTAAAAGAGAGAGGTGAATCTATTTTCAGATTCACCTCTCTGTCTAATTACAGTCACATTATAGGAAGTTCCTGAATTAGAATGCCTATATACCTTTTTTCACCCTTCCTTTGTCCTTCTGTAATCCATTATAACACATGGGTAAAAAGCAAGCTTATGCAAAGACATAAATAAAAGGCCCTATAAATGACTGTTTTGGTATAGCCAAAATATAAGATAAATGTCTTAATATCTAATGTCTTGTTACTCTGAGCAATGGGGTCCCTATCAGAACACTTTCGGTTATTTCTGATTTTTGTTTTTGTGTTGTTGTGTGTCCTCTTCTCGCTGGTTTGAAGTGGGTGTTTAGTTTAGTTGGAGAAAGGTGATGTCATCTACTTTGGCGCATCAATCAGGATTTAACAATATTTTAATCAAAATGTGATTACAGTGGTTTGCTTGTGTTGCCAGGCCACTGTCAATCAGACCACATCCACACAGTCCTGATGAAACACGTAAGCTCAGATTTTAAAGGTGTTAAACTCTTAATAATCAAGAAAATAGAATCAACTTTAACCTTAATTATTACTCATTTAGTTATCACAAATTAATGCAATACAGGAATACCTAAGATTTGAAACCAAATTTTCAATCAATTTGTGGGCTGAGGAGGAAGCATACAGCAAACCAGTCACTACTATTTTTAAACACATACATATACTATATAGTAAAAAATTTAATTTCATATTTGTAATAAATGTGAGTAGCACAGTAGCAAGTAACAATATAGCTAAACCCAAAGTGACATCTTAAAGTTGCTAGTTTTGTCCAACCAACAGTCCAAGACCCAAAGGTGTTAAATTTACAATGACTTACTTAACAGAGAAAAACAGTAAGTCCTCATATTTGAAAAGCTGGGCGAAGCAAATGTTTGGTACTTTTGCTTGATTAAAAGCTTAAATGATTAAGTGATTATTATAACTGTTGGCAATTAATTTTCTTTCAATGACTCAATAAATCAACTTATCATTTGAATAACAAATGTAGCATGGTTTTCCATGCACTTCCAACACTGCCACACACAAACACAGACAAACATACACACAGTCTAAATACCCTGAGATAAGCAGTGAGTGTCACCTTGACACATTTGTTGGTGTGCCACCATTTATGTCCCTGATGTAAACCTCACTGAGGTATTGCCCCCACTCCTCACCCAGCTGACACTACTTGGACAGCTGTAATGGATCCAATTCAAACCTCGTCCATAACAATTCAGACTCTGATGTCTACAGTCAAAACACCATCAATATCCTGTCAAGTCTTTGTTCATTTCGTGGGTTGTAATTAAGTATCGATTAATAATTCATGGAACTCATTAATTTTTCATGGCGGCCCACTGCAGGACATCTTATTGGATAAAGAAAGAGGAAAAGACAAATTTGAAGTTACTCAATTATTCATAACAAAGATTTATCCTTCCTCGGAGACGGAGGGAACTCAATGAGGAGTCAGAGGGAAACCAGAGGGAGAGGACAGCTGATGGGGGAACTGGTTCTCAGCAACTGTCTTCCTCAGGATGTTTTATTGGAGGAGACCCAAGGGGCCAATTTCTAATATATCAAGGATCAGGGTGGACCAGCAATATGTCAAGCCTGACTCTGGGACTTATTTAGATCTCAAAAGCTTAAGGAAAGACTTTCAAGGAGACTATGGTTCTGTGTCGCTCACTATGTGAAATGTGTCATTTACATAAGTTCCCCCTGAGGCTATCTGTAGAGAATAATTATGCTATCACAGCATAGTGTGCTACTTTCTGCTTAAAACATATAGGCTGAACTGAGCATTGCGTTGTGCTATTTTGGTTGGTTGCTCAACATTAAATGATATTTGCGACCTTTTTTTAACTTTATTGGATAATTATTTAAATTATTCATCATAAAATGTGCATAAAATGTGTTTAAGTTAGAGCTTTGAGTCCCATTTAGCTGCAGTAGAACTAATTAAGGAAAGTGTTGATTTAGAGATGAAAAGCACCTGCATTTTGTCACACATCAGATAAAGCAACATATGTCAATCCAGATATTTTGTGAAAATAAGTAATTAACATGTTAATGAAATAGAGTGTTATTACCACATTCCTTAACAGCCCATTACCTTGCCTGAAATGACTTTATATTTTGATCAAGCCCAGTTGGATTCTGTGTCCCCAGCCTCTCCCATGATGCATGACAAGTTCTTCTAGAGATGGGAGTTAAAAACTTGCAGGCAGGGGCCTCAGTCAGACATTCCCAGTTCACCCTCACTACACGTTTGGGTTTACCAGGTGTTTTCAAGTCAATCATCTCTCTTTGACCTAAGGTGTTATGGTACCAAGTACACTTATGAATCACTCACTGCTCAAATCATGGTGTTTGTTGACAAGCACAGAAGTCCAATAACAAGGCACAGGTTCAAATCGGGCACTTCTTCAAGAATCCCCACCTTGTCATGGAGGAGGGGCGTTACCTTTGTGTTGTTGGGGGCAATAGTTCCTGGTAGGGTCTCCCAAAGCAGATTGGTCCTACGGTAGGGGCCAGACTACAAATTATTTTCAGACCCCACGTTAATAAGACAAAAGGGGAGCTGCAGCACCTTGCACGGAACAGGGAAACCGGGTCCCCGCTCCTAGAGCCAGCCTGGGAGGGGAGCTCACTGGTGAGGGTCTGGTGGCTGGGCTTTGACCCATGGGGCCCAGACAGGCACTGGGCAAAAGGACTACATGGAGTCTCCTCAAGTGGGGACCTAGGCTTGCTGTGCTGACTTCTGACATTGCAGACCTCTTGTGTCAGATATTCTGAAATGGGTTTTCTTAATCACCTGGAGTGTGTTTTTAGCTGTTCACACGTTATAGTGTTATTTTCCATAAATCAGCATGGAAAGACTTAAATCAGGGCTTATGTTTTACACCTTGCACAAATAAAGCTTATTGTCTCATTATGTCTCAGGTCTGATTTTTACATGCTTGGCTCACAGAGATGTACTTTTTCTAATAGCGAATCCAGATCTACCACTACAAAAGCTTGAAGCAGCGAGTATTAACATGAACTTTCATTCGTTCTATTTTAGAGTTCCATTTTAGTTTCCCTTTAAGAAGACTTAAATGCATCCAAACCAAAAGTTGGCAACATATGTCTGGTCAGATTAGGAATCTTGTTTACTTATTATTTGATTCTGTTTAATTTAATCAGAAATTGGCCATGACTGTAATTTATTAAGGTCAAATTCAAGATGTACAGTGGCTTGTTGAGAAGAAGTTTCGCTTCTTTAGTTGGAAGGGTTTTGTAGATAAATATATTTAAATTCCTCAAAGTAGAGCTGATTTGAAATAACAAAAAAATAAATTGGCAACTGTTTTGATAATCAATAATCCTGGGGTCTTCAAAGTCTTGTAAGTTGAGAAATAATGCCAAACATTCTCTAGTTCCAGATACTTACATGGGAGGATTTGCTGCTTTTTTTTAATTCAATGCTAGTGATTCCCAACCCGGGGACCCTCCAGTAGGTCACAACATAAATCTGGGTTGACAAGATTTTTAATGGGATAGTTTTGCAACACAAAATTGAATTCATATCTCAGATATTTCTTATTTTTTTCTAAAATATCAGAGAGTTTTACCTTTTTGGGACTAAATATGTCAGACAATCTCAGAAGATTTAAGGTCAAAACTTGTAACTTGTAGACTTCTGACACCTGGGATGAGACACTGCTTTATTATACAGAGTCACAAGCCGAAAAGATTGGGACACAATGATTTATGTCATAGTGTATAAGTATTTTGGGGTTTTGGGGTGTTGGTTGGACAAAGCAAGCAATTTGGTTATGATGAGATAAATCATCAGCACATTACAAAAACATACGTTTTAGGATACTAAGGTAGATATCCTAAAACTTATGTTTTTATATCTTACTAAAAAACCGGGTATTGAACTGGCAATAAAAATGTCAAACAGTGCGTAGACTAAGGCATAGAGTAGTGTAGCAATGGCAAGGTTGACAAAGTGACTGCACCCTAATGGCTCTGTTTTGTGTGCAACACCAGCTACAGGACATTAAATAATCATGCGTCTTTCTTTCTTTGTTTCCAGTGATTGATGGCCCCACACAGCTGATTGTGCGGGATGTGTCAGACACCGTAGCGTTTGTGGAGTGGACAGCACCAAAAGCAAAGATTGATCAGATCGTGTTGCGTTATGGCCTGGTGGGCGGAGAAGGTCCTCGGACCACCTTCCGCCTCCAGCCCACACTCAGCCAGTACTCCCTGCAGGTGAGTGCTTGTGTGTGTGTGTGTGTGTGTGTGTGTGTGTGTGTGTGTGTGTGTGTGTGTGTGTGTGTGTACGCAATTCATCATATTGTGGGGTCACAGATTTGATCAAACAGACACATTATGTGGACTCACCTGCCATCTGGGGACAGAAAAGCCAGTTGTCACAACTTTAACCGTTCATCTTTGGGTTGAGAGTTACTATTACATTAGTGATAGAGAGAGAGAGTGTGTGTGTGTGTGTGTGTGCGTGTGTGTGTGTGTGTGTGTGTGTGTGTGTGTGTATGCTTGTCATGCTTGTTAAATTATCTAATCTCAGAGCCTGCCTGCCTTCTGTGTCTGGAGATAAAACAAAAACAAACCAAAACATCCATGCAAAGATATTAAACAGACTAAACTGTCCATGTTTTTTCGTTCCACAGGTTTTGCGTCCTGGCTCGCGTTATGAAGTGTCTGTGAGCGGTGTGAGGAAAGGAAATGAGAGCGGATCTATTTCCACTGAATTTACTACCGGTGAGGTCTGACAGCAAGCAGATGTGGTGATAGTGGTGTTACTGTGATCCTATGCCTGCATCTGAGAATAGTACAGTTGATGGCATATGGCCTAATGTATGCCATACTGTTTATCTATATTGAAAATGGTAGTGAACATCTGTTCATGGCAACTTTTGCTCTTGTTTGTTCAGAAGAAAGTATGTTATTTGTGAAAACATAATCCTAATTTGTTGAGTGCAAACAAGTGAACATTATCAACTGTGACTTTAAGCCACATCTGAAGTATGAAATGTCTGCATATGAAATGTCTGCATATGATATCACGATATCTTATTTAAGGTTAATTAATTGAAGTAAAATCTGCAGATACTTGCTAGCAGGATATAATTGATTACAAATGAACATGTGTAGCAACTGATGTTGATTTACAGTGAGTGATATCGTCGTACATTCAGATCAGCTATAGTATTTAACACTTTAACACTCTGATGATGTTCAAACCGCTGATGTTTGCTTGTTCACAATTCCCGAGAATTGGTCTCAGTGTCCCCAACATTGTCAGCTTTATCGTTCTTCTCAGAGATCGATGCCCCCAAGAACCTGCGGCTCGTGTCCAAGACCTCCACCACCCTGGAGCTTGAATGGGATAACAGTGAGGCTGAGGTAATTAGACATGGAGTGAATAGCATTAGCAGTTACCTTTCACGATTTGTATTTCAACCGTATGCACAAGCATGCATCTTAGGACAATGATATGAGGCAAATAACTACCTGCCTTTACTGTCTTGATCTGGTACACTTAGCAGTTACGGTGGAGATGATTACAGAGTATTTTTGTATAGTCTAGGTTCTGAATAATTCTTCCACTGCTGCTCAATTTTCAGTGTCTTTTATCTTTTGTTTGTTTCTTTGATAAATGTGTGTTGTGGGCTATCCTGAAATATTCATACCTTCTACATGATCTGAGTACAATCTTCAGTGCTCCTCATGTCACTGAGTACCTGTTAATTATGTTCTTTCTGTAAAAATAACAACTAATTTGTCCTTAATCCCTTGGCCTTATCCACCCTCCCTTGACCCTTCCTGCATAATCGCCCTAAAGTAGGTTTTATTCCTCTCATTTTTCTAAACTCTTTCTTGTTGTATTGAGCACTTTACCATCACACATCTGTGTGTCTGCGTTTTGTGAGCTTGGTAAATGCCAATAACGCGAATGTGGTGAACAAATTTACTGGGTACAAGTGGTCACTGAAGGTTTTACTCAGAATGAAAATGTGATAAATCATGTTGTTTAACACAGTAGTCACAATGATATTCCCGGGGCTCACTAACTACACAGCCAGACTTATGAAGCTAGTCTGTCTTAATGCCTTTTAGCACTACAAATTTATTAATCATCATGATTCTGCAGAGTGTTGACAGAGAGCCAGATATCATACTGGGCTAATGCAAAATAAACCATTTATTCTCTGAACCATCAGAAATGCAGGGTAACATTTAAAGCTGTTCGGGCAGTTCATGATAGCTTTTTATTTTCCTAATTTTTGCTGATGTAAATGTATAATGTATAACTATTTATATGTTTATGTATAGGTGGAGGGCTACCAGGTGGTGTACAGCACTTTAGCAGGAGACCTGTATGATAAAGTCATTGTACCACGCAATGAGGGAGCCACCACTAAGACCACTCTCACAGGTAAGTGAAGAGAAGTTATGTTATGTTCTTTTCCTTTATTTGTTGTGTTGCAAATTTTTCTTGAATTATTTATCATCAACATCTGTGGGGGTCTTTTCATCAATGTGATGTTTTTCCTTATGCCTCCAGTATTATCACAGTGCATCTAGCGTGCACTGAATAAGCGCGGAAGTGCCTGTGTGTTTAACATGGCAGGATTATCTCCAGAGCTAACACTGACGGGCTACTGATTGTATCTGCAGAAATGCTTGTTGTCCTGCGGGCATATTGAAAGGCTGTCGGAAAGGAGGGGTTAGCTGGGATGTTTTTTTTCTGAAAGGCCATAGTGCTGGAAAGGGCACAGCCAGCATAAGAATAGAAGCAAAAGGTCCTTGTGTTACTCTGTTCTGCCATTGCAATCGATGCTGCCTCCAATCTCATTCCTTCTCTGTCAGTCTCATTTTCTCTCACCCCCACTCTCTCTTTACTAATAATCTCTGTCACTGTCTCACTCACTTTCACTGCTCATCTCTTTATCGTTATTTCTGTAGCTTGAGAAACTCACTGTGGATGTACTGAATTGATTTGAAACTGATCAATTATGCAGTTGGTGCAAAAAAATCCTACTAATGTATGTGTAAATTTGCCTAGACTTCATCTCCGATGCATAGCTAATTGGGTGGTTATGAAAAACTCCCATCTCATTAACATGCACTTTTCTTGAGAAGGAGAGTGTGAAACAGATGTGTGTTTCCTCTCGCTTCATTGTGTGTTAACTTAGTAACCGCTTCCCCTCTGTCTTTGTGCCTCAGACCTGCTGCCAGGCACAGAGTACGGAATCGGCATTTCTGCCATGAAAGGTAGCAACCAGAGCACACCGGCAACAATGAACGCCAGGACAGGTGAGTGAATTGCTGGTTATACTACACCGTAATAAAAGCCACTGATTCGCTCATGCATGTAAGACACACTAAGTGAATCACAGCAGCCTTCCACTGGAAATCTCAGCTTCACAGCAGGCCGGTTAGCCCATTTGTTATTTTCCATTTAATTCTCAGTTCGTGCTATCGGTCAGTTTTTCAACCTTTAAAAGCCATTTGAGAGAAATTAAGCAAATCAAATTTTGGCAAGACTTGTGGAGGTGTGTGGCTGTTTTACATTACCGGCTTGGGTCAAAGTTCCCATTACAGCATTTTAAAGCTGTAATAATGCATACCATTTTACTAATGGCCCTCTCTTTACCTCAGTGCTTGATCGGCCGTTTGAATTTTTATTGTGTTTTGAGTTGTTTGGCTGAAAGAAAAAAAAGACCCCATTTAACCTTCTGTTAGAAATGTTGCTGCGTGGAGGTGCTTCGCTAATCTTTCCCATCACGTTGACTGTCAAGCACATCTTTCCTCCAGTTGCAATTATTTTAATGGCTGAAGGTATTTTGCACTTTGCAAAATTATGCCTCCATTTTCGTTAAGAAAAAGCTCTTTCTACCCCACTATTTTGTGCACTCTCTTTGAACTTGAAAAAATGCACTACAGCTATCACATCTTTCTCAAATAGCTTTAAATAATATGACAACACCTTCCGTCAGCCAGGCATACGGCAGTACTCATGTTACTGAGTGTGAGTTGCAGAAAGCTGAAAGCATAATTTCCATTAACAGTGGATTTAGTTGAAGTTCTGTCTTTTTCCAGAAAAACTCAATTTGACACGGAGCTCCAAAAACATTGAGGGTTCAGGCAAACGTTGCAGTAGAGGATTAAATGAAAATGAAACATTAATGATCCAATAGGCAACTGGGGTCATTGCTGCAGGAAAGAAAAGGACAAGCATAAGAACACAACAAATACAAAAAGATTAAATGCAGAATGTGGGATCATTATGTTAATACAGAGGTCCTTTTGGAAATGAACTTCCTGGAAGCTGACTGTTAAATTTCAATCAGTAACGCTCCTGCTTTTGATATCAATGCTGCGCCAAAGAGGAGGATATACAGTAGACTGAAATATAGAACACGTTCTTGTCCTGTTAAAATGTTGCACAATGTTGAAGCAGACCTCTGAAATTTCACCACAATAAAATGTGAAGCACTGCATGTTTCCATCAACTCACTGACATTCAGCAACTGACCCTGTCTCGACTTGAACGGAGGATGCTTTTTGATATATTTTTTTCTAGCGTTCTGGTTGAGGGGAGGCGTGCAGTGGTGAGTGGCTGCATGACATGAATGGTTTGTCTACAGCCGAAGAAGCAAAACAGGGGACTGCAACATGAAAGTGTATTAGAAAAATGGGGTTCTTCAGTCTTTATTGCATCTTCTCATCTTCAATAGGTTTTCTATGACCTCTAAGCGTTTAATACTTTTTTTTCTAGTGCAGAATACAACAATATGAAACATAAGAGGATGAGGCAATGTAGCAACTATTAGAAAAGATTCTAGAACATAACATGAGATTATAAATGAAGCAGTCAACAGATGTATTGAGTATTAATTACATACAGGACATGATGCTTTCCACAGTAATAACCTTTTGGGGTAGCCCAATTTTTCTTTCCCTTTTTTTAAATTACAAAATGTCCGCTGTTTCGACTCGTATTTTATTTGAAAATTTAAAATGTGCACGTAAAGAAAAGTACTTCATTGTGATCAGATGAGGAATAAATTATGTTCTTACACCTTAAAATGTCTTGAGTGACAGGTGCACATAGGAAAAAAGAGAACCATAAAGGTAAATATCAAAAGGTAATGTCCCGTGCACTGCCTTGAGTCTGTGCCATCATCACCATTTGTCATGGATGAGTAGGAATGTCTCTGAAATGCCATGTAATATCTCAAATTGTCATCAGTAACTCACCCTGTTGGTTTACACCCACTCAAGTGCATTCTCCTGCCATAATGCTGGGTATTCTTTTAAGAGGCCCTGTGCTTTACTAAAACCTTGCTTCCCGTCTTATTAGGTCTGGATGTGCCCATGGATCTAACTGTGACGGCTTCGACAGACAACACCATCACTCTGGTGTGGGGCGTGGTCCAGGGCCCCATTGACCATTACAAGGTTACCTACACATCCTCCTCTGGCGTCACTACAGAGGTAAAGAATTGGACAGATGAACATTGAATGAATAATAGATACACTATAGCACATATATAGATTCTCAGAGATGTGTGTACCAGAAACAGACGCACTTACACTCATCCTTACAAGGACCAACAAGGCTATGACCCTTTTTATTATGAAGTAGTCAACTGTCAAACAAAATAACATTGAATTTGTGCTTAACTGTGTCTTTTTGTTCCAGCTGACGGTGCCTAAAGATGTAACCACCACCACTCTGACGGACCTTGAGCCTGGGACTGAGTACACCATCACTGTAGCAGCAAGAAGAGGAAGACAACAGAGCACTGCAGCTACCATAGATGCCTTCACAGGTAGAGAGAATAGTACTCTTACAGGTCCACGGTGTCACTTTAGTTTAGCATTATGGTAGCTGAACACCAGCTGTCCCCCCTTGTCTTTTTCTTTGCAACAACTCGATCTTAACTTTTCTATAGTATCAGGGTTGCGATACAGCACCCGTTTAATCCTCTCAATTATCAGACAGAACTAAGATAAATTCTCTCCCGAGTGTTTTCTCTGCTCAGATAAAGACATGAAAGATCAGCCTATTACAGCAGATAGCTAGAGAACGGTTTTAACAGTGGTGCGTAATGAAGTTGAATGCTGATATATAATGAACTAAAGTGTGGCAGCAGGTAAGGTGAGTCACTCTAAAAGAAAGTGGAGGACCCTAAAAGACTTCGAAGAAGCAATTAGAGGAGGTAAATTATTCAAGTCAGCTAATGAGCTTGTTACAAATGTTCCCTAATTGCTTGTCTGTTTTGCATCTAAATGTATTTGTGTTTCTGTTTCTACGGATTCCTTTTCGACAACACATTTTCTCAGTTTTGCTGTCACACTCGGTGCTGTCTGCTTAAGTAGTTCTTCCCCTTTATCTGAGAATTTCAGTCACAACATAGTTCTATTTTCTCCAGACTTGTCCATCCATACGACTGTATGTCGGATTGCCTGTCAATCTACACAGCACTATTGGTTCTTTGTTATTTTTACAGAAAGCTTGATTTCTCACAAAGGATGGTGTTATAATGATGGGCATGTGCTTACCTGCTGTCAGATTTTTAATTATTTTCTTTACCGCTCTCAACATCATCACCTTTTTTCTTCTTCACTGTGACCATTGTGGCAGTTGACACCATTATCACCATCATCTTCATCATCTCAGTCATCATCTTTTTTTGAATCTGTGGCTCCTTTAGTAACATCACTCTAACCATCTGGAGAGGAGAGATGTGAGAATGATAAAATGACAGATCAGAAGAGAATCAGAGGAAAAAATTATTAATTACCTGTCATCTTCTCATCCACCGTTCACTTGGCCATATTGGTAACATCTGTCTACCTGCACTCAGGTAAACTCATCATACGGAAAGAAATATGATGAATAATCCAAAGTTTGATCTTGAACTATGATCAAATATAAATTGTAGGTTTTGCCTTTGGAGCACCGCTATCTGTCCTTCAGTTTGTTATTCAGGTATTTATCATTGGAGTCATGTTTTTACACCACATTACTCAGAGAGCACCGGAGGATTGTTCATTTACAGCATGTGTTCATTAATTTATTAGTGCTGTCAGTTAAACGCTCTATTAAGGGCATTAAAGCAAACCCATTTTAACGGCGTCAATTTTTTTATAGCGAGATTAACGTTTGTTTAACTTTGTAGTTTTTTTCACATGCTGTTGCAACAACTAGTAACTTTAGAAAAACTAACTACTATCTAGCTAGACCGGAAACAAAACAACAGACACGCCGCACACACTTGTTTAAGAGTAGTAGACGTTACGTTTTGAGTGGATGGCGAGCGCGAGACGCCGAAATGGATGCCAATTATATTCTGAATGGAAAGTTTACTTTCAAAGAGTTGCCAAATGGTTCCATTGACAAGACCAAAGTGATCTGTGTGTTTTGTCGTTGTGAACTGAGCTATCATCGCAGCACGTCCAGTCTGAAATACCACTTGATGGCCAACCACACAGCTGATGCGAATTCTCCGCCCCCTCGTCAAAGCCAGGCGACAATGGATGATTTTTCAATAAAAACAACATTTGCACAAAGCAAGCCGATCCACTTTTCCATGTTGATAAGAGCATTAAAGTGAGAAAAAATAATGGGACAAAAAGAAATCAAGGGACATTTAGAATAAATAAAAATGTGCGATTAATTTCGAGTTAACTATGACATTCATGCGATTAATCGCGATTAAATATTTTAATCATTTGACAGCACTATAATTTATTCATTCTTTCATTCTTATTATTTTCCATGGTTATTTAAGATATACCGTATAATATTAATAGCAGTAAGAGCATGAAGGGAAATATACTTTATTTTTTATTATTTATATACCTGGGAATAGTAGTTTTTGTAATATCCTATCCATTAACATTATGGAGTGAGTGCACTTTTGGAAGAGACAGAGACATCCTGACTTTTAGTCCCTAGTATAAGGACAAGATTAAAAAATGCTAGACCCAATCAAGCCCAAATCAAGACAACCCCGATGACATCATCAGTTTTTTTTTTTTAGAAACCTCCAACAGAGCCATAGAAGAGATTATTCTTACAGGCTGGATAGAACTTCTCATGACTAGCAGACTGACCTTTATCTGTAAGAGTTCATCGACCTCTTCTGTGCTATGAAATCTAAGAGTATCATTAAGACCTATAGCGAGTGACTGACCAGATTATCATCACACATCACCTGCACTGCCATCTTTTACTGGCTCAATCATTACCAACTCTATAAAAGGCCACCAGCACGGCTGTCATCACACTGACACTGACTTCTTCTGCAGTGTTTAATCCATAATTAAAGCGAAGCCATAGTCTTGTCTCTATAAAGGTAGCATGTGGAGTTTTGGACCTTCATTGGCGCAGTAATGTTTGGATGACTGTGTCCTAGTGTTATTTGTATCACGTCTTTTACCATCTTCCACAAAAGGACACTATGGACACCTTGAGGATACAAATTTCCGCTGACTACACAGGGAAGTAATGCATGTTGACAGCTGGTGAAGGAAATGTGCCATAAAAGGTAGCCATTCACCAATGCAAGCCAGTGTAAAAAATGCACGTTTCAAATGATAAATCTCCACAGATGAGGATCTGGATGAATCAGAAAGGGAGAAGTCAGTGTTACTGCTTGTTCCCAGCTATTTATACATCCACACATGGCTAATTAAATTCAAATCATCTGGCGTTTGTTGCTGTGTCAGCTGCAACACTGGTTCATATTCATTACATCATCTCCTGTCCAGGTCATACATTTTGACAACAGCATCTGCCATCATCATCATTTCTCCATTTTCTTATTGTGAACAGTCCCATCACATCTTCATCTTTATGGTGGATAATCTAATTAGTTTTTCTTTTTTATGACCAATTAAATCATTACTTCCACATGACTGTGGTCTGCTGTGACTCTCACCTTCCTCATCAAGATTACACCCAAGGCTAATTTTCTCAACTGTATTATAAACGATCTGTTACACCATCCAGGACTGCTTCCATCCATCACTGAATTGCTTGTCTGTCATATTCATAACAATGGGAGCTGATTTTTCTTCTTTTACTTCCGTCGGTATGTCCCGCTTGTGGCCGACTTTTTACTTGTCCTTGAAAATTCTCCGGTGACTTTTAAACCCCCGTTCCTCCAGGAATCAGGCCTGTAACCCACCTCTACTTGTCAGAGGTGACGTCAGACTCTGTGTCAGTAGCATGGAGCGCCCCAGCACCACCTGCTGACCTCTTCATCCTGAGCTACAGCTCTGCTGACGGGACCGACACCTCTAAGGTGACGCTTGACGGCTCCAAGACGAGGTCACTGGTCCAAGGCCTGCTGCCGTCCACTCCGTACACCATCAGTCTAATCACTATACAGGGGGATGTTACCTCTGAGCCCATCACAGCATCACTCACTACAGGTGAGCTGCTTGATTTCATGGAAAAGTGGTATCAAAAGGTAATTCAAGGATGACACAGATGAGGATACATAAACATGAGCAGCGTAGTAAAGGTTTATGTCTTCATACACAATCTGTCTTATGGTTTGTTTCCACCAAACGCGACTTTACTTGCAGGATCATTTGTATGTACTTGCGCAAGGTGGAGATGCTTACTATGTATTATGAGTTTAAAATAAAAAGATTTTTGCTGTGATTTAATTGCAATAAACGGATCAAAAGGATGCCGATTGGTAAAACATCTGAATTCATGCTTTGTCAGATCTGTCCATAAGACGACAAGCAAACAACTTTCAAAATGGTTGTTTTCTGAACATTTCCTGAACAGAGCTATGTTAACTGAGTTCATAGTAAAGTACTACAGATCTCTGGGTGCACACAGACAGGTGTCTGAGGTGGCACCTCTGTGGCTCTCTCATGTTGAGAAGCGAGAGTGAAGACAAATCCACTATTTAATCCGAAAAGTTTAAAAAGTAAACTCTGAGCTCTCCTCCTGCTGGTAAACGGCTCTAGATCAGAGCAGAATCCAGTGTGACTATAGGTGTTTATTCCTCAAGAAGAGCTCTGCCCCTGGCTCTCTTCTGCAAAACTCCCCCCGGGCTCAAGCTGTTGTCTGTCAGTGAGTAGTAGCAGCTCTGTCTCTCCGGTCTTCCCCACACAACTCTGTAAAAGCCCTACGATTCATGTCTTTGTATTGACTTTGTGTGTAATCTACTCACGCAAATATTTGTATTCACATTTGGTGGGAACGCACCATTAGTACTTTTGCATCTTTGCTTAATATTATTGTTTATGCTTGGGTAGCGTGCATGGATTATTCTGTACCTATAAACTTAACGTGAGATCACGTTTACTGTAAGACTGCAGTTAACTATTATTTACATAACTTATTAATCTGATTGATCTTATCTGATCAGATTCTTTAATTTTTTGTCTTATAAAATGTCAGAAAATAGTGAATAATGTCTGTCACATTTTGTTAAAAGCCCAAGCTGATGTCTTTAAATAGCTTGTTTTGTTCAATCAATACTCCAGAGATATTCAATTTACTATCACTTAATACAAAAAAGCAGCAAATCATCCCATTTGAGAAGCTGTAACAAGGTATTGTTTGGTATTTTTTACTTGTAAGACTTGTGTAAGACTAAGTCAATAATTAATCAGTCAAACAATTATCAAATGCTGTTGATCGTCTAACCCATTCATTAACTCATTTTGTCAGCTGTCAAATGTTAATCACATTTCTGAGTGGGCTGCACTGTTCTTTTGGGGGTTTATTGAAACAGGTGACACTGGAATGTCCCTGAATCCCATTTAGGATTTAAAAAAAAAAGAGGTTGAGAAAAGGAAAGAAAGTATTTTTTGGGAAGAAAAGTGGGGAAATAGTAAGTGTGAAGTAAAGCGATAAAGGAGAGAGGAGAAAGATTGGAGTAAGAAATGGAAATACAAAGTGATTTTAAATTAAATATGTATTTGCAGAGAAATGCTGTTTGAGCATTTAATTTGCACAGAACCACAGCGGAATGATGTTTGTAATTAGAGATCTGCCTTGGAGGTTTTTATTTTCTATTTTTAGAAATCTTTTTTATTTTTGGAGAGACAGTCCCAGAAATGCAAGCCTCAATGTATTCTGCTGGGGTATCAGATGGCTGGGGTTTGCCACATAGATGAAATCTGAGTCAATGGCTAGTCAGCATAATGATCTGGTGTTAATTCATATTTATTCTAAACCCATCCTAACATTGTGGGATATCTGAGAAACTGCTGACAAATGGTTCTCTAATATGGACAAGGACAGAGAGAAGAGAAGTGAGAGAGGGGGCGGACAGATCAAATTGTTACTGTAACAGAAGCAGTCTGCTTTACACTTTGTACTGTGTTGTGTTGATTCTTTTCCTTTTAGGCTTCCCTTTCTTTTATCTCCTCTCGCTTATTCACAGTTTCTCTATCCTCCACACCTTTACCTTTCTTTGTTAACATATTACACAGTATTATCGCATAATTTTTCATTAATTGGCTTACTGTGAAGAAGAGCTCTCAGAAACATTTCTTTTGATTACGAGTGTGCTATTCACATCTACGGAGAGAATGAATAAGGAGAGGGTAAGCCTGCCTGAGAAAAAAACAATGGGCAACGCAGAAAAATAGATTCTCTGTTTATTTTTTCCTAGAAATTGGGACAAAAGGAAGACCATCAAAAGAAAAAAATAAGAGAGGACTGAAGACAAATGGAGAAAAGACAGAAGTCAGCATTGAACAATAGATATATTAACTTTGCATCAGTGCCAGAGACACCTGCATGCTGTCATCTGATTACTGTGCCAGTATCATATAATACCTTGGCAGCTCCGAGCACCGTCTTTCTCTCTGTACATTTACCCGCACTCAGATAAGCAGATTTCAGGGGTGAAATTGGTTGGGGATTCTGAGACAGATGTACAGTATTCCATGTGCCCGTCTTTAGACTGTGGTAATTTCCAGTGTCCCGCTTTGATCTCACATGTTTGAATTTGATCGCTGATAAAAGACTGCACTCTGGCTTTGCTTGTATAATTAGGTGTGCTTTTAGAGTTACATTCGCTTTATTTGAAATTGTCAGTATTCCTGTGTTTTAACCACAGTTGAAGTAGGTGGTTCTGTTTATCAGAGTGATGCTCACTGTGCCCCTATGGTCAGTTCAAACGGTGCTTTAATGTAGCTCAGCCTGAGGGCCACATTCAAATTGAATTGTGATCTTCCAAGGGGATAAAGTCAATAGCAGTAGATATCTCTGACAGAACTATTCTGAAACGGTTCCTATTCAGACCCCTCAGAAGTGAAAATACAGATTTTCAGCCGTTATTCTTACGTGTACCACCTTCTCCAAATCAAACATAATTAGTAAGATACGCAATCCATGAATAATCACAAATTATATGAATGCTACTACTGTAAGTCATACAAGTGGAATTTAAATGAGTTCAAGTTCAGGAGTTATAAATTCCCCCCCTCTGCTTGTGAGTAATGGCCATTATTCTTTAAGAGGGAGTGGAGCAGTTGGTTTACAAGCGTTACCTGTTTCGCCCCTTGTCCACACCAAGAGATGGACGTGATCTCTTAATCCTCCTCTTTTTTGTCTTTTTCTTTCCCCCCTCTCTAACTTTTCTTTATCCCTCTTTTTGTTTCTCTAGAGGCTAAGGACATGTCATCAGTTTAATTGTGTGCTCACATTGTTTTCGCCATAACCTTTTCCATGGCAGCTCGATTGTCTCAGGAGACACATAAAACAAATTGTCAGCATGGGGGGAAATCTCCTCTGAGTAAGCCCTACTCAGTCTTAATGCTAATGCCGCCTATGTGTTCTTTTAGCTGGATTGAGCTGGATTTCTCCTGGAATATCTTGCGATGGTGTTTGTTTAGTTTACAGATTTGCATTTAAAAATGCTTGTGATTCCACAGAGCAAGGACGGGTCTGTTTATAAAAATGTAATGAAGAGGAGATTAAAAATGGACAAAGCAAGGATTACTTCAAGGGCACTGATTCTTTTAGATTTGCATGTAGATTCCTGAACTTTCTTTGTAATATACCACATTAATGAGCTTCTGTTGTCCTTCTGGAATCAGAATAATCTCATCTGATGTTGTCCATTGTTGACCATCTTGATCCTATGCTAACAATTCCCCACCCATAATCTCCCTTATAGGCATGGACCCACCAAAGGAGATGACAGTGTCAGACGTGACAGAAGACGCAGTGACTATCTCTTGGATCAAACCACTGGCTCCATTTGAATACTATAAGCTGTCCTACCAGTCAGCCAGAGGTAGTATATCATAAAATTATATTAACAAACACGCAGACATACTGCAGCTTTATGTTACAGTTAAATGAACATGGCATTTGGTGTTGCAGGTCTTTCTGATGTAAGATATTTTGTAGCAGGGAACCTTGTTACGCACCCGCTACACCTAATTAATTGTAACATTTTATCAGTGAAATTTAATTTAATTTTTAATTAAAATTCTGTATTGATTAAATATTTACTCTGTGATGCAAAACGCACACCAGTTAGCTAAGCAGTATTCCCTGGGCATAAAGAAAGATCAGAGTGATGGCAACAGTTCTGATGTTGGTCTCTCTCTCTGATGTCTTCCTGCAGGTCGAGTGGACAGCGTGGTGATTGACAGCGATGTGACCAACTACACCTTGTCCAGCCTGTTTCCTGCAACAGAATATGAGATCAGCCTCAACGCTGTCAGAGGGAGTCAGGAGAGCAAAGTGGTCAGCACCTCCGTGTTCACAGGTAGGAGCTGATAAGGGAACATTATTAGGACCATATACAATACAATAGAGAATAAAGCAGCCATGCAACCAAACAAACTAAACCTGCACTAGCCTGATCATCAGACTCAGTTTGCATTTTGTTTCACTTGTCAGCTGATTTTTTGATAAAGAATATGGAAGCTTCACAAGCAGCTGCATGGAACAGTTAACTTTTATGATCTTTGTTTCTCACAAAGATAGAAAAGTGTCAATTTAAGCATTCATTATTCTGTAAATAGACAACATTTACACTTTTTTCTGGCCATTTTTCTGTTGCTATTTGTCATAAATGAATAAATTGCAACTACAACTCGCAGATGTCAGATGAAGAACAAAGTCTCAGATCGCTTCTTAGGCTCTTTATTAGTCTCATGGACTGAACCGAGATAGAGGAGAACATACTTTGAGTAAAAAAGCACCTCTGTTGTACTGGCAGTAGCTTGATTTGGGAGGTTGCCTGCTCCCAGGGTTTTGTGATTTAATTGCTTGTTATAGGGGGCACAAAATATTAGAACACCTGTCAGTATATATGGTTTAACAACACCACAAACTGCAGCCTCCATAAATGATCACACAGTTGAATCAACACCTCTCTAAAACATTATGACCTTCATTAAGGTAGGATTTATTGCAGGAGTGTGTTGTTGTTGGCAACTGAGTGTATGTTACCTTGCTAAACACTGTGATCTATTTTCAACGTGCTTTTGAAACGTTCTGCTCTGGTACGGTAGGAAATCACGTTGCATTAAAACCACATTGCTCACATTCCTTTGACTACAACTCTTTGATAAACGTCCCGCTGTGAGTGGGCGGCAGGGGGACAAAATGTTTGCCATGTAAAATGAATGAAGACTTCCTCTTCCTCTGCTTGACTTTCAGAACAATTGTTCTTCCCACAACAATAGCAGCTGCGTGTTGGTAGATGTGTGCTAAAAAAGAGCAGCAGGCTCACACACACACGCACACACACACACAGACGTCAGACAAAATTTAAGGGTACAGCTGACATTGCAGGCGGTGCAATCTTTGCTGCTGCAATAGATGAAACTGTCCACTCTGTGACCCAGTAATTGGTAACCTACTCCCAACTCCATCTCACTCTCCTCTATCTCTCTGCTTCCCTCCCTTGCTTATCTCTTTATACTTTTGCCTCAACTCTTTCTTTCTGTATCATTCTCTCTGTCTTTCCCGTTCTTTCTTTCTCAGTATCCTTCTCTCCTCTATCCTCCCTCTTTCTGTTCTCTTTCTGTTTCCTCTCTACTTCGTCCCTTCTTTCCTTAATCTCTCTCTGTGTGTCTCTCCCCCTATTCCTCCCCAATTCGTCATTAAAGGTGAGAAATCACCAGCTCTTTTACTTTCAGACTCTTAACCTAACACTGACTCATGAGTTAGGAAAACCTGCGCACACACACATGCACGTGAATATGGGACACTTCTCCTGTGTGAAAGAATTCCACTAACTTAAGCTTAACACACTCTCTGTGCTGTATGCATAATCTTCAGTGTGTGAGCGTGAGAGAGGAAAAAGCAAGAGAGCTAAGGAGAGCAGAAGGTGTGTTTGCATGTCAATGAGACCTGATTTACCAGGAGCCATCAGGTTCAAGAATCCAGTGAGAATAAAAGAAGCAAATAATGTGTCTTTCTCTTACTTTCACTCTCGTTCTCATGTCTGTCTTGCTCTTCCCCTCCAATTCTTTATTATCAGCCTCCTTTTTAACAATCCCTGTGTACTTACAATGAGCACAGCCATTGGGGCTGTAATAGCCTGAAAAGAACATAACTCCAAAGTCAAGGTTGTTAGAAATGGTAAATAACATTTTCCTCACACCGCACAACGCCCAAGCAGGGACATTTTAATGCCGCTTTCAATAACAATACACAAACAGGGGATTTGGAAGAGTAATCCAGCATTGCCTGGCCAAGTATGTAATGACTTGAATAACGCTGCAATTGCTACTTACTTCACTTCTGTAATCAATTATTGTCAGAGGGGATGAAAAACCAGGGAGCCATATTCCATTTTGCTAACACAGCAGGTACTGCTAATCTAAGATGAATTTGAGAGGGTTGACACTAAATGGACTATGTGAATGCCCGTTTAAAGGAGGGTGCTCATTAGGAAAGTGTCAGGACCCCTAGTAAAGTAAAGCTCTCCCCAAAACTGAGAAAGACCTTTAATGTCCTCCCTACCTGTTTTGTTTTAAATGGATGCTTTGTTAAAGTATCCCAAAAAATCACAACCAACATTGAATTACAAAAGGATTTCAGGGGAACCAACACAGAGAAAGTATAAATGAAAATAAATATATAAATAAAGGACATGGCAGGCAGCACTGCAAAATAGAGACTGAGAGTAAGAAGGAGAGGAGAATTATTTTTGAGCCAACAGATATATACTGTATATACAGGTCTCAAGTGAAAAAGTAAAAAAAAAGAGTGCATGGTTTTCATCTTTGAAAACTGTTTTCTTCTTGTCAGAAAACAGCGAGGCTTGTTAGGCTAGACTTGTCTTTTGTGTGTAGCAGCTTGCTGTTTTCAGGTTAGCACTCTCTTGGCCCTTCTACACGTGTCACAGTCCCAGTACGACATGTCTACTCAAGTGCTACAAGAGACCACTTACCTTATGATCCATTAAAGGTGCAACACTGGTCATTTAAACCAAATGATCATTTTTTTTCCCCCTGACACTGAAAATACAGGTAAGGAGCAACTCTGTCACTAACTGCCTATTATTATAGCTCCTGAATAACACTGAATAAGGGATAATAATAATGCAGAGTTTGTGTGGTTCCAGAGTGAACACTAAAAGAGTAGTTGTAATCCTGACTGCTATGTTAAGGATATACTAATGACCTACTGACTGGGTGCAATTATTGGTCATGTCTCACTTTTCAGATGAATGTATTGCCAAGCATTTTTACGTACACATACAGCACATTCACAATATAAAACTCCCTGGAATAAATGCACAAAAACACAGTAATATCCAAGGTTATGTTTGGGATCCTATCCAGAAGATTACAGACATGGATCTTTGAAAGATTTTATTTTTATATGATATATGATTGGCAGCACATCTCACATGCAGCCTAAAAGCTGCTGGTGGAGTAGGTAAAATGTTTTCATGGCAGTGGCTTTGCCTGCATGAGTATTGTGCCACAAACACATCCAGTGTGGCTATAGGGTTAATGTGGAGAACACACTCAGACGCTGATAGCCTGCTTTTTTGTACTGTTTCCACAGTAATGGGAGGGGATGCAGAGATAGACTGGGGAGTAAAATGGCCCAGTATGTCTTACTAACTGTACTGTCTGCTGCAGTCTGGTCTACATAATGGCCACAGACACAGCACCGAGCAAACTGACCTCACAGCCAACCGTGACAGCTGGGGTGTTCCTAAAAAGACCACATTCAACAAATGACAAAAAGTCAGTTTGAAACATTTCTCCTAAAGATTTTATAACTTATGATTCAGACATTTAATAGCACACCAACAAACTTGAATTAAACTTATTTACCTGAAGACTGTTATTTAATCAATAACAGGGTTTGTGACAGTGTCCCCCTCAAAATATAAAGGGCTCTATCTTGCACTCGCGCACTCGCACAATTGACTTTGTACACTGGCGCTTGTATAATTCCTATTTTGCACTCGACGCACATTGGAATTTTCCCTCCACCGACGCACGTCCTTAAATTAGGGAATGAACTTGCGCTCCGGGGGGCGGTTCAGCAAAAAGAGGAGGCGTGTTCCGGCGCAAACGTTCCCTGGTGCTATTTTGCTGTTTCAGAAAACAATTCCGCCACAGACCAGGAAAAACCTAGTCTAGGGCCCTATCTTGCCGATCTGAAACGCAAGTATCAAACGCAAGTAGCTTTGTGGGCGGATCTCGGCACTGTTGCTATTATGCCGGTGGGATAAATGACTCTTGCGCCCGGCGCAAATCTAAAATGGGTTGGTCTGAAGTAGCTACATTAGTCATAGGTGTGGTTTGGGCGTAACGTGCAATAAACCAATCAGAGCGTCATCTCACATTCCCTTTAAAAGCAGGCGCGTTTGTTCCATGGCGAATTGCTATTATAACGGCAGATTTGCCAGGTGCACGCCAGGAGCGGTTCACAGCTGAGGAGAAGTGACATTATTGACATGAAATACATGTAACACAGCCATACAATAAATCAAAATGATGTAACGCAGCTTCGCAGAAAGAAGCCCCTGGCCTCGGGAGCAGTGCGCACGGGCCGAGCAGTGCGCAAGGGCCAGCTGAGGAGGGAGCAGCGCAAACACCAAGGTGCAGAGGATCCAGACCCACTACACGCTGGAGGACCACCCGTTCCTGCAGCAAACCGGGTTTGACATGCTGGAGCGGGAGCTGTCCGGGATGTGGCAAAGTATTAATGCCCGTCTTGACAGGGTGGCGATGTTGCTGCTGCATCTCAGGCGCATCTCCTCAAGTCTGCGCCCTTAAAATAGCATCTGAATAAGTGCCACTGACTTTAGACTAGATTTTTCCTGGTCTGTGGCGGAATTGTTTTCTGAAACAGCAAAATAGCACCAGGTAACGTTTGCGCCGGAACACGCCTCCTCTTTTCGCTGAACCGCCCCCCCGGAGCGCAAGTTCATTCCCTAATTTAAGGACGTGCGCCTGTGGAGGGAAAATTCCAATGTGCGTCGAGTGCAAAATAGGAATTATACAAGCGCCAGTGTACAAAGTCAATTGCGCTGAGTGCAAGATAGAGCCCCTAAAGTCAGTGGCGCTTATTCAGATGCTATTTTAAGGGCGCAGACTTGAGGGGATGCACCTGAGAGGCAGCAGCAGCATCGCCACCCGGTCAGGACGGGCATTAATACTTTGCCGCATCCCGGACAGCTCCCGCTCCAGCATGTCAAACCCGGTTTGCTGCAGGAACGGGTGGTCCTCCGGCGTGTAGTGGGTCTGGATCCTCTGCTCCTTGGTGTTTGCGCTGCTCCCTCCTCAGCTGGCCCTTGCGCACTGCTCGGCCCGTGCGCACTGCTCCCGAGGCCAGGGTCTTCTTCCTGTGGAGCTGCGTTACATTGTTTTGATTTAGTGTATGGCTGTGTTACATTTATTTCATGTCAATAATGACACTTCTCTGTATTTTGCAGCCCTGACGAGAACGTCGGTCTCCTCGCTGTGAACCGCTCCTGACGTGCGCCTGGCAAATCCGCCGTTATAATAGCAATCCGCCTTGGAACAAGCGCGCCTGCTTTTAAAGGGAATGTGAGATGACGCTCTGATTGGTTTATTGCACGTTACGCCCAAACCACACCTATGACTAATGTAGCTACTTCAGACCAACCCATTTTAGATTTGCGCGGGGCGCAAGAGTCATTTATCCCGCTGGCATAATAGCAACAGCGCCGAGATCCGCCCACAAAGCTACTTGCGTTTCAGATCGGCAAAATAGGGCCCAAAATGTCTTGTCACTGCAGTCTTCTTGAAATCAGTTTCTACCATAAATAAAGGGCATAATCAAAGCTGTTAGCAGGTTTTTTAATTGTATCAACATTTATTTTGTACATTCTGCCAAAAATGTTTTGTTAGAGAGGGAAAGCCACTTTTCAAATTTTAAAAAGGATGTTGTTTCTTGTGCTAGCTGACTTATCATGCGCCTGCAAAAGTTGCCCCAAATCACGTGGTAGTTATCTGAAAGACCAGGCTTTCCTTTACTCCTGAGTAGATTTTGATAATATAGAATGAAATACAATAATATAAATAAATGCAGTGTTTTTTGCAGCTGACTCTCAAGGATTCCTATTAGCATATGCCTGCCCCACAATATAGTCTCACAGCATCCTTTGTTCCCTTTTTCCAAACCTTTTCTCTTGTCCTGAATCCAAACATGATCTTAAGCACTGGAGCTTGACTTTCAGATACAGATCCAAGCGCGAGCATGACGTAGTTGGCTCAAGCCTGTGATTCACCAGTGCAATCAGGAGATGGAGAGTGAGGACTGGATTATCACTGGGTCTGATGAAGGAGGATGACCTGTTTATTTATTTATTTATTTTTGGCCGTCTACTCCATCTCCATTGCCAATCTAATTGACTTGGCAAGCCTCCATTAAATTCACTTAAACCTTTTTGCAATTAAAGTAACGATTTTAATCAGGTTTGTTCATCTATTGTAGCGATAAGAAAGACTCAAACTCACTTCGGTGTGCTAATGAGCTCAATTCTCTTTTTATTCTGATGAGGGCAGGGCAATATTAATTACCTCATCTGGGCAGAGCTTTGAAACACATGCGGTGTTCTGTGTTCTCCTGCCACAATGTCTGCCGTGCCAAAATAACACGCCTGAGGAGAAATTGGGGTTGAAACACTGAGGTTAAAGGTATAATTAAATTCAAACTCAATTTTGGCATGTCCAGCAGTCTGAGAATGAAATTAGGAAGAGGGTGGGGAAACAGTAGGCTCAGGAGAATATCTGAGACTTTCTACAGCCTTTTTGACTGCATAATTTCGCTTTGATGTGTGTTAGAATTGAGAAAACAGTGATCAAAATGGCAAAGAGAGTCATTATTAATCAGCACGAATGCAAAGCTCTTCTGTGTCTCGGTTTGTATAATTATAACTCAGATGTGGGTTGAAAAATGGTTTTCCATTCATTTAGTGCTCCATTCAAAATTGTTTAGGTGTAATTGGCACCTCTTTGCAATTGGAAAATTACCCACCATGACACAGCTCCATAGTGTGTGAACAAATGCATTTCATTCTCCAAAATACCTGGGAAAAGAGACAGGCTACTATTCCGAGATAGTTTTTATTATTCCTCCGTGCTGGCGGATTATGTTTTTGGGTTGTTCATACGTCGTTCCCATTCTTGCGTCACAATATCTTAGCAATGCCTCAGGGGAATTTATTCAAACTGGGCACAAAGGCAAACTTGGACTCAAGGATGAACTGATTTTGGTGGTCAAAGGTCATTGTGACAGACATAGGTTTTTAGCCATAATGAAAGAATTAACATGGTACAGGCTTTCATCTTTCAGTCAAGCAATTAGTCGATCAACCAATTAGTCAACCTAAACTGGTTTGGTGAATAATAAGGTAATTGTTAAATCAATTAGTTTTTTGGGCAAAAGTGCCAGACACTACCAGTTTTCCCTGTTTTGTATCATTGTAAATTGAACAAAAAGACAAAAAGAAAGCTGACAGGTTTGTTACTATATATCTGCCAATTTAAAGCCAACATGCTGAGTTAGAATATCCTGCAGTGAGTTGACCGTGGTGGTTTTAGGGTGTTATCCACCGCTGTCATGTTAGCCAGATATCACTGAACATTTCTCAGAATTGTCCTGAAAATTGATCTCTTGAAAAGGCTGTAATTATTGATTTTTTAAAATTCTTTTTTTACATTGGGCTTATATCTTTGTGTTTAATCCTAGCTATGGACATGCCAGCTGAGTTGACGGCTCTCAACATCACTCCACAAGGAGCCCTGCTGAGGTGGAATCCCCCCGTTTCCAGTGTCGACAACTACGTGCTGACTCTCACACACAACCAGGGTGAGCTGTCAGAACTGTCATCTCTTTTATTTATTTTCTGTTTATAAGATAATGCATGGATGGACTGATTAACCACAATCAAAGCACAAGAATCTGACTAATTTGGATAAAACCATCAACACCCTTTTCTCTTTGATGCCTCGATTTCTGGTATGTCAAGTTAGTACAGCACAGCTGCAAATCATGAAAAATACATCTGATAATCTGTCTGTCTCACATCACCACCACTATGGTGTTCTCCTTACATTGGCTATATATAATAGAGAAAAGTAACACACACAAAGGGTTATAGTGAGGTGTTGATGACTTGCAGTAGACTTGCGAGTAGCTGCATATTGAACCAGAGTGTGCAACACCTTTTCTCATCATTACATTGGCTAACAATTCATTTTGAAGCACCCTGACACTTACTTACTTTTTATTGATGCTGTTGTCTTTTTGTGTTTCATATAACCATGTTTAAGTAAATATTTTCTTACCACTTATATAACTTGTTATTTACAACCTCTCTCCACCCACTCTGCATAATTGCATTATTGAAATCTTATAGAGTCATAGCACTGAGTGCAGTAGGATTGAACTAAGTCAGAGCACAATGAGCAGTTTTATTTTAAGTCATACAGTGGAGATGTGACAGGTAGCGTCAACGTTTTCAGTGCGATCGTTCAAGGCGGTATGGATCCATTTGTCGTGCTTTCAGAACTGTTCATTATGCTTGGATTAACTACGAAGCTTTGGCACAAACATTGCAGTTTTTAAACGGCAAATGTTTTTGATGCATGCCATGTCTTCGCTGTCGGACAGCCATATCCAGATAGGTAAAAGATAGCCATATTGCTTGGCCCCTCAGAGTCAGTTTATAATTCGCTCCCTGAACTAAGTGAATGCCAAGTTACAATAGATAGACCAGCTGCAGATAGAACTTAAAGCTACTTGACATACATAGCGAGAGTGCTGAAATATAAAAGTATGAAAAGTTTCAAAGGAATCATATTTTTTAAACAAACATCACCTAGTGTTGGCAGTCATTAGCCTTTCCAAAGATATGTTTTAAATTCATCAGTAAAATGTTTAACACTTGATCCCAACAATTATTTTCTGCAGGGATTTTTGTTTATAAACTGGCTAGAGAAAATGTTATGGGAAGCATATTTTTTCTCATTTGCACATGACCCCACTGACTAAGCCATGCCTTGAGTTATCTTGAGAAATCTGTATTAGTCAGCTCTTGGAGTCAATGTGTAAATTGCACCCTGACTGACTGGATGGCAGCCAGATCATCTAAGTTACAGAGACAGTATCTATATGCTGGACGCATAGTTGGAAACCAGCTTCCACCAGGGTGCAATGTAAGTTGTGGACAAATTCCCTTGAGTGTCAGTGTATTAAATCAGGGTCAATAAATCTCATATTTCATCAAGTATTGTACTGCATTACAAAGTAGATTTTTATTGGCAACCAGAAACACCCACATAAAATTCATGGTATCAGTCAGTCAAACTTAATATAAAATAGATTAATAGAATAACATTGCCAAAATATGGTTTGTATATATCCTCAGTATGATCACTGTCATTGTGAAGTTTACACACACTGTATATCACTGAAAGGACAGCTGGCAGGTCAGAATCCAGTCTAAGGTTAATATTGACACGTTGATGCAGCTCTTATCATTATTACTATAAATTAGAACTCTAATGCAACGGGATCCTGTCAGCAGTTATATTAAATGTGAAATCTCATGCTAATGCTACACAATTATTTTGTTCATCAGTAATTTTTCACAGTCAATTCAGAGACATTTTCTTATGACTGTAAATGCAGATTGGTAATTGAATGGTAATTTATTCGAAATCACCCTGTTTAAATTGGTTAGACAGACATATTAGTCATGAAAATACCTTCAAATGATTCTCGGAATATGAATTTAGATAAGATCAGCTTTGTATTTCAGATATATTACAGTACAGAATATTCAGTCATATTTGAGAGCAAAATACATTTAATTAGTGTAGAGATCCTTTTGTGGGCTTTGAGATTTAAATATGTCTTTTTCCTATGCTAAGAAGCATTTTTCAGAGAGAAACAATTTTATCTATTCAGACAAAGCTAAAAACTTAAAATGTATGGGATGAGCACATAAATTATGTGTCTTTCATCTGTTTTCCAGTGACAGCTGATACTTTCCTTGTTGATGGCAACAAGCAGGAGCACCAGCTGTCCAACCTCAAGCCAAGCACCACCTACTCTGTGGCCCTCTACGCCACCAAAGGACCCCTCACCAGCGGCACCGTCATCACCAACCTCCAAACACGTATGTATTCATTTTATTCAGCTGGTGTCAAAACAGTGGGCGGAGCGGCGGCTCAGCGGTTAGCTGTGTCACCTCACAGCAGGAGGGTTTCCCCCCAGGAGCTCGGTTTCATTCACACCAAAAAAAAACTATGCATGTTAATTAGGAATTCTCCTGTTGTTGAATTCACTGTTGTCCTTGATCAAGGGCAATGGCTTCACACTGCTTCTAAAGTAGTTAAAATGAGTCAAATGCAGCAGATGCATTTCTTTCTGGGGATTTAACTAGTGTAACACAAACAACAGTATGTCATACAACTAAAAAATATAACCAGAATCACAAAGTGACATGCCTGACCTAGAAAAGTGGCAGTTAATTGGATGGATGAATTGAGAGATTTATGGGTGGATGTAGGGTTGGGCAATGAGGCAAAAAAAAAAAAAAGAGTATATTTATATAAAAAAAAATTTGTCATATCAGTTGGTGCATATTGTCACGGTCACAAATAACTCCTTTGTTGAGACCTTGATGGACAATGAATAATAATTAGTTCTAAACTAAATAATTAATTTAGTTTCTGCCTGTGTTTATATGTGTTAACCTGAATTAACTGAAACAAATTCAGTGCAGGTTAACACCAGAGGTTGCCTGGCTGTTAGATGCACAAGTCTTAGTGTTAATGAATTCCCTTAGATATAACAAATAATTTCTCCAGTACTACCTATGCCATGACAATATAGAAATTAAATTACCGTATTATTTATGTTGATTAGATAATCTTAAGCTTTAAATTCCCTAGCAGCAGATTCAGAGAGGTGGAGGGTGTTTATCTGAGAGCCTCCCTGGGGATGGTCTAATTGCTGGTGGTTGAGACTACGCACTGTTTGCTTTGTTGAATGGTGATGGTGGTTTTAGGTGATAAACATAGTTTATGGTATTTCCTGTTTTGTTTTTGTTAGTACAGGTTTTATATCTATTGTTATGGGTCATTTTACAGTACAACTTAGGTAGATTTTAATTTTTCCTACACAGTGTGCACTTAGAAACATTTGATCCTTTATCTCTATGTAACACTCATTGCAGAGTCAGGGGTCAGTAACTTTTTTAGAGACTTTGACATGGCCTAAGACACAACCAGTCATGAGGATTAAATTTACGAACACTCTGTTCAGTTTTAGCTTGCTTCACCTTGAGATGACCCACCTCTTTAATTATATTCACCTCCACTGTCTGCTCCATTGAGAGGAAAGTTAGGGGTGAAGGAATTGTTCCAGTTTAGCTGAGTTGCAGCTCTGTAAACTTTTTTTTTCTAGACTTCTTGCAGGAAAAAAACAAAAATCTTTTCAGTCAGCAGAGGAGTTCATAATCCCCCAAGGAGAACCAGAGCTACCTGTCCTGCACTGCAGCAGAGACGAACTGCTCGAAACAGAAACAAACTCTGGGCTGCAGAGACTTCAAAACATAAATGGGGCTCAGGAAAATTAGGTGCACCTACAACCATGTCAATGCATATAGTAACTCATACATAAACAAATGTTCTTGGCAGTTTAAGGTGATTCTAAATTGGAAGCAGATGCTCTGCCTAGTACGTCATGTACCTCAGCTTCTCCAGAGGACTAAAAACAAAACAAAAAAATTCTACCCTGGTTAGACTCTCTCATATAAAAGAAAGAATTTGGGAAATCGCTGTGATGTAGGTAACACCATGGAGTAAGCAAAGAGAACAAGGATTTCGATTTGTTTTGAATGCCATGTCTTATTGAATCAAGCATGTGGTTAGATGCTTGCTTTTGTTGCTCTCCTCCTCTAAATGGAATAAGCAAAATTTCTTCTTGCCATGATAAAATTCCTCTATACAGCTCGAGAGAAGTCTGCAGGAGCTCACTGTCTCTCTTACTGAACAAACGTTAGTCTATCAACATAGTTGAACATTTGATGCAGTTATTAATCAACACTGGTATCTTGGCTTTTACAGTATTTATTTTGTCTACTGTGTACATTTACATTGTTCTAGAAAAGGGACTTCTAAAAGGATAATATCCATATTTTACAGTTAAAGTCAATGATATTGCTCTTTAAAGCTTTACCTCATTTGCCTGAGGAACAGAAAATCAATAAAAGAACAACGAGGGATAATCCCTGACACATACCAAATTTATGAACTTGATTATTTGGAGACGTTTTGGGCACTAATTTGCATTTAAAAATCTCATAACACAAGTACCTGCCTCCCAGTACACACATACTAAACACAGTAAGGCAGTACACACAGCTCTGTATTAAGTGGGCCCAAGTAAGTAAGCATATATATACAAAGGAACACACCAATAAAGTCTTCACCCCTGCAGGACTAATGATGACATGTCACACCAGAGGGTGCCTTAGTCAGCCCCAACTTCAGAGGGATCTTCCCCTGCTGTTAATTAAACTTCCTAATTGAAATCTTAAAGGCTGTTTCAGTTCCGCTCACACAGCTTGTTTTCTCAGGCTGTTCCGCTCCAGTAGAGAACGTCACATTGTGAACGAGCTGCGAGAGAGAACAAGACCATTGATTGGTTTGGTCAACTGCTCTGGATATGGGTCAGTCACATCTCCACCCGTCTGCTGCTCTGTTTCTGTCTGCCTCTGTCGGCCTCTCACTCTCTGAGTGGTGGTCTCTGTCTGTTTACTTTTTGCTGGTCATAGATGCCTAAATGTACAGTATGAATACATCTTTAGAAGGAAATGAGAGCACAAGCAAACAAAAATAAAGTTATATAGTTAATATAATTAAAACTGAAAATAAATAGGTAAATAATTGTAATGGACAAAATCACACAGTCATAAATTGAGGACTCAAACCCAGCTGTAAAAAGACAGAATTTAAAAGTTGCATGGTTTTTCTTATAGTGGAAAACCTATCCTTGTATAAAATGATCATACACTTGTGTAATTCCATTTAAAGTCTGTGGTTGGGACATAGAATATGCCATCTGAATTTTAAGACTGCTGAATGAGCTTTTTAGCTCTCCCAGTAGTCTGGTGTTGTTGAGACTAATGGTGAGGTTTGAAATAACTTGTTGAAAGACAAATATTCTGGAGAGCAAGTGAGCCTAACTCAACAAAACAAACAACAACACAGCCGGTCTTACCCACCCTGCTTGTCTCCAAAACAGACCAACTTTCTTACAAGCCAGTAGTTCTAGTTTCTCAGTAGCAGGATTGAATATTATTGTGTACTGGAAATAGTCTCCATATGTATTTGTGAGCAATTTACACAATACAAATTTTTTTTACATAGCTGTTTCTACATCTTTGTTTTTGCTTAGTGGATTCTTAAAGGTTACGTATATATGAGATTTAAAACATTAATATGGCAGTAAAGAATTATCTGCTATGTAAAGATATATTGGAGTAATGAGCAGAGAATGACATCACAATCCCTTTGCCTGTGTTGCTATCCAAGCCTCTCTGTTCTCTGTTTACAAAGACAGACTCGGCGTGTATGAATTTTAGTGCATGTAAGACCATCTGTGAGCAACTGAAACAGCTGTTTTTTTATTTATTTCAGCCAAACCAGAGTTGGTGAATGTTGGAGCAGTGGAAAAGCTAATAAATATTTCATAGTTTTATTTTGTTTCTGTCCACTTTGAAAGAAGTTACGATGTTGTGATGATCTGCACGGTAAAATTACAGGTTTTGTCTATGGAGTCGCTGTTGCTGGTTAAACAGAAGGTCTATCTCTGCATGGGTACTTTGACTGACACATTTGTCCCCAAAGATTAGCTACGTTGCCACCATTGCAGCCTGTTTTGTGAATAAGTGAATTTAGGGTTTATTTTGACCAAACCAGTTTTGGTGATTGTTGGAAAGACTAACAGGTGGTTTTGATGAGTTTTGTTTCATTGCTGCCCAGTTTGAAGTGTGTTTTATGATTATCTGCTTGGTAGAATTACTGGTTTTGTCAATGCAGTCTGGTGAGTCATGACGTCAATTGTTTAGGTGTTTTGTGAACTTTTCTGGTCCTTGTATTGTACATGAGGTGAAGGGTCAGTAAAAGTTCTTGCTGTCAGGTTTTGACTTTTCCTACTCCTTTTAGGGATGCATGGTTTCTCTACATGCATGCTGAACACAGCACACACCGAGAAGAAGAAAAAGGGGAGTCTGGCTCATATCAAAATGTGGCCAAGACTGTCTCAGCCATTCAGTTTTTTGGTGGTGGGGGGTGGCATTTCTTTGTTGATTCTCAAGCCTCTTAACCACAGCTGAGAGTTGTTTTGTTGTCTGGCCTCCATGCCTCAAGAGTTCAACACAGAGTAAGACAGCTCCCCAAAGGCTGATATTTAAGCTATAGGGGTGGAAAATAAGGGATTTTGCTACGGGTGTCTCTATAAGCCTGTAGGCTGCAGCACAGGGACTTTTTTCCCCCTCAGATGTGTCTGAGCCCACTTGCTGAGAAGTGCTTGGCAAGTTTTTGAAGCAGTAGAGATCCTTGCTGCGGGCAGCTTCACTGAGCTCTGGCTGATAGTTGTTCACCAAGTGCTGAGAGTGCTGCTATTACGGACACATAATCTTCATTCTTCAGGCAATCGTGGCATCTTTTGACACTTTAATGTACTTTTAAGAACTTCTGTCCCCATAAAATCGTTAATTGTTTTATGGTAATATGTTTAGAACACCCACAACTGCATTAAAATATTCATTATAAGATATTGAATATAGTATTTATAGTATAAAGTATGGAGAGTTATATGCTAGTTACTAGAGCTGTTAATATCATTTATCAAATATGAAAAATGTCTTGACAATTTGTCTTGACATGAGTCATGGTGGTAGAGAGGATGTGATTCCCATGGGTATCATTTCTGTACTTTTTGGAACATTTGGCTTACAAGTAGAACATTTTACTTGAAAAAAGGAAATTATGAACTGCCGTAACACTTGGAACAAATAATGAATTTAACCTGTTATAATTAGTTTAGGATATACTTTTACAACTTTTATAACAAATAATTAATTTAACAAAAAAAACAATATTAAAA